CCCCCCCCCCTCCCCCGACCTCCACACAAGCGCATAAAATAAGATTTTTAAAAATATTACAATGGTACCTCCATTGTCCACTGAATAATCCATTGAAGGGAAATCTGGTAGTTGACCCAGTACTGGCGATGCAACTTTCACTATTTTCTGTTTCTTACGTGCAGGGATTTCAGTTTGTAGATCAGCAAACACTTTAAACATGGGCATAATTTAACAAATGCATTATTTAATTTAACTATTCAAACTTTTACCTTCATCGTTCAGAGAATCATCCATTGCAGGTAATGGTGGTAGTTCAGACAGCTTGACTAAGAACAAGGGCATTATTAAAAATATAATTCATGCAGATTTACGAGTTTACATTGTATGTGGTATATTACGACGAATGTACCTTGTATATGGTATATTAAGACATTTTCACCTTGCATCTAGTGTATTAGGACGAGTATACCTTGAATGTGGTATATTAGGACGAGTGTACCTTGTATGTCTTATATTAGGACGAGTTTACCTTGTATGTGGTATATTAGGACGTGTTTATATTGTATGTGGTATATTAGGACGAGTTTACCTTGTATGTGGTATATTAGGACGTGTTTATATTGTATGTGGTATATTAGGACGAGCATACTTTGTAAATGGAAAATTAGGATGATTATCCCGGTAAAACCCCAAGTCAACCTCTTCCGACTAAAAGTTGACTTTTATCATGCGGAATTAGTAGACTATTGGGCCTTGATAGCCACCAATCTAGCTAAACCTCAACACAGAAAGGGTCGGGTTTCAAACCCCCCGTCGTAAATCATTTTATTGCCATGTGTTTGTTTTTAGTAGTTTGTTTTTTCGGTTGATTAAAAGCTAGCTTTTTTAATTTAAAAAGCTAATTTATTTAGTCTCTTTTAGGTTGACTAAAAGCTAGCTTTTTTAATTTAAAAAGCTAACTTATTTAGTCTCTATTTGGTTAATTAAAAGCTAGCCTTTTTGGTCGGCTATAAATTAGCTTAAAAGTTGACAAAAAGTCAACAAAAAACAATTTTTAAATTTAAAATAAAATAATTATAGAAAAAATATTTATTTTTAAAAATATGACCAAACTAATGAACAGTTGATTGAACGATTACAAAGTGGGATGTATATTTTAAGAATTAACCCACCCCCTCCCCTGGGACATGTTTTTTGTAAGAATTGTATCTGAAAATACCAGATTTTTCATCCTTTCTCAAAATTTTTTACTCAAAATTTGTTTATTTACCCCAATAAAGCGAGGGTTGAATTTTTCTTAAAAATATACATCCCGGTATAATTCTGTAGTTCATGGGGATAGGCCGGCAGGTGTTTGATGTATATTCAGGTTGATGCTGACTGTAGTGAAGTGCTGAATAAAATAATGTAAATTAATAAATTTTCGTTTCTTTTCTTTTGTCATATTTGTTGTAAATGTGTACACTGTACATAATAATATATCTGCATACACCTACGCTACATACCAGTGTAGAGTAATATTCTACACATACACATAGACACCAGTATAGAATAATATTCTGCATCTACATACACGTAGACACCAGTGTAGAGTAATATTCTACATAAACATAGACGTAGACACCAGTGTAGAGTAATATTATACAATATACATATACATTATACATACATGTAGACACCATTATAGATTAATATTATACATATACTAGACGTAGACACCAGTGTAGAATAATATTATACATATACATTATACATACAAGTAGACACCAGTATAAGAGTAATATATTCTACATCATCAAACACGAAGACACCAGAATATGATATGAATTACCTGAACTAAAACTGATTTCCATTTATAACACTACTTAATACTGCTCTTCCAGTCAGTGCTGATCCATTCATATTCCTCCTTACCTTAAAAATATCATCTAAACATATAAAGTTGTAATCTCTGTTTGTCTGTCTGTTTGTTTGTTTGTTTGTCCGATCATAAGTCAAGAACCCCTGGACCTATTTGCTTCAAATATTGATTTGAGAACCTCGGGAATGTTCTTAGCTTGGTTTTTAGATTCTAAGTTGAGTGGGTCAGCTTGAAAAGCAAAACTTTATGTTATCAGTAAAATCATTCAAGTGCGGGTAAACGGCGGAGTAACTTTTAGAACCTGGAAAAGCGCTGGGTTCCCAAGCTAGTTTATATAAAATCAATTAATTTGAGTTGATTAAATTAATTAATATTTGAATTTTGTATACTTACTTTGCCTGTGTCCATATCATGAAATTCATTTCCGTGAATATCTGGATATTCGCCTTGAAACTCTGTCTCCAACCTTATTCTCTTATCCTAAAAAAGTTAAACCAAATCAAATCAAATCAAATCAAATCAAATCATTAGTTTTAGGGATTGCTTTAGGCTCCTTTATGCAAAGTGGGGTTTCAATTCACTGTGTACTTAGGTTTTTCAGCCCGGATCCACATAAATTTGTTATTTCTGTTAAATTGGCTCGTATTGAAATCATTAATTCCCGATAAGATCCCAGCAAAAGTTATCAAAACTTAATCAAATAAAAATAAATATTTGAATTTTTGTTCTACTTACATTATAATGATATCTGTTTACATCCATTGGAGAAAAGTGGAACTGTTGCGACTGTCCTTGTGCCTGAGAAATATAAATTTTTCATAGGATAATTATTATAGTTATTAATTAATTAAATAACGATATGTTTTAATGTATACTTACTTCTGCATATCCCATATCGCCAGACGCTCCACCATAGTCGTACACAGACTCATTTGACTTCTCGCCAACCTCGTTCTGTTTCGGAACCTCATATGACTTCTCACCAATCTAAAAAATATATTTTTTATGAATAGATATGCTAATTATTATTCTTAAACTTGAAATTTGATAATTATATTTAATAATCGTGATAATTTTAATAAACAATTATACTCACTTCGATTTTCACTGCAATATCGTTCTGTTTCGGGACCTCATATGACTTCTCACTAATCTAAAAATATATATTTTTATAAAGAAATATGCTAATTATTATTCTTGAACTTGAACTGAAGACCTGCGTTAATTTAGCTTTTTTATAATGTTTAAAAAATTCTGTAAACTTCACGAGTAATAATTGAATTGAGTTCTCTACAGGTGTCATTCTTTAAGATACAGGGTCCGCCCTAGAGAACGATGTTTGGACCCCCCCCCCCCCATCCTATCTATGTTGTACATGGACCTTATTTTTCAGCAAAATTATTAATATTTTTTTTCAATAATTTAGAGTTAGGTTAGGTTAAGCTTATTTCTGGGCCGAGCACTGTGGCTAGGACTGGCTAGGGGGCCAAGCGCTGTGGCCAGGAAGTACCAAGACCTTTAACTTCAACAATCTTCAATAAAATTAGTGTATATTTAGGGTTAGGTTAGGTTAAGCTCATTTCTGGGCCGAGCGCTGATTATTATATTTAATAATCATGATAATTTTAACAAACAAATATACTCAGTACTCACTTCGACATTCGCTGCAATATCGTTCTGTTTCGGGACCTCATACGACTTCTCACCAATCTAAAAATATATATTTTTATAAAGAAATATGCTAATTATTATTCTTGAACTTATTAAAATAAACTCACTTCAACATTTGACTTCACTCCAACCTTTCAAATATATATTGTTCATGAAGAAATATGCTTATTATTATTATGAACCATTCTGATAATGTGCACCTTTGCTGGACGCTGCAATATCATTGTGATTTGGTAACTTTATTGTGTACATCGCTGTTGGTGTAGCTATCTCTTTGCTAGTTCCAGGTCTGCAACTAGAAACCCCAACTGTACGCGGGACACCTGATCGTTGAATCTTGTTCTTCTTCAACTATAAAATACTATTTTTAACTTTGTTTACTTATATTCTAATTTATTATCAATATATTACCTTCTTGTTCTCATTCTCCTTGATTAGAGCCTGAGAAAAAAATATTTATTACATGTTCAATCATCGTTAGAAATGAAAATAATTCAATCTTAATGTTTATTCTCACCTTCTTGTTTCTAAGATTTTTCAGATATTTAGCTATCCCATGACTAAAATTAGTATTCGCCGCTCTTGGGGATGCCTCAAATTCCAGCTCGAATTTTTGGCTTCTGAAGATCACTTCTAAAATTATTTATATTAATTGGTTTATAAAGTTAAACATTTATTAAGAATCTCACCCTTGAGCATAGATGCAAAATGCGGATATTGATGCTTTAGGTGGATACTTCGAGTTGTCGCATTCTTTCCACTTCCCTTGTCCCAGCTTATAGTCATAGCAAACACATCGCTGATAATCTGTTGTAAATAATAAAATTGAATGTTTAAATTTAAATTATCTTTAAAGCTGTTTATTAAATGCTATTCACCTCTGGAAGTATTTTATAGGCGGCGTTATAGATGCTATAACCACTGATTTTGCAACTGAGATATTGTTTTACCGCCATAAAAAAATCCTGATCGTTTACTATCCTCAGCTCAAATATCTTTAACTGGTCTAAAATAAATAATGGAAGTTAAAAAAAAGATTAATTTTTAAAACCAACAAAACTATACCTGCTGTATCAACATGTTTAAATGGTTTTTCTGTAACAGGATTTTGTTGCAATGACATCCTGTTGTTTTGGAACTCCTTTGCGATAAATTTCTAAGTAAAACAACAACGTAAATTAATATAAAATACATACAAAGGTGCTTATAAGTCATTCTTCCTTAAAAATTACTAGGTTTACCTGCATCCCGTGCAGTACTTTTAAGATGCCTTGATTGCTCTCCAATAAAGTGTTAAACACATCTCGTCTTTTTTCACTCTTTTCAAACAGCCTTTCCCCTAAACACAATTAAACTAATTGTTTAGTATGTAATTAAACGCAAATTTAAATAAATACCTTTCCCACGAACAGAATTTTCAGGTATTGAAGTAGCCATATTGCTCGCCAAGCTAATTGGACTGAAATCTATAAAGTACATATTTTAGATTTCTTATAATCAAACAAGAATAATCGTAATTATTTTTTATACCTTTACTGGCCTGATTCGAGTATAGTTTCCTTTGCTCCTGCATCTCTTTGTAGGGATTACCGAATTTACTGTTTAAACGAAATTAGTACGAGAATACCTTGAATGTGGTATATTAGGACGAGTATGCCTTGTATGCGGTATCAGGACGAGTATACTTTGTATGTGGTATATTAGGACGAGTTTACCTTGTATATGGTATATCAGGACGAGTATACCTTGTATCCGGTATATTAGGACGAGTGTACCTTGTATATGGTATATCAGGACGAGTATACCTTGTATGCAGTATATTAGGACGAGTATACCTTGTATGCGGTATATTAGGACGAGTATACCTTGTATCCGGTATATTAGGACGAGTTTACCTTGTATATGGTATCAGGACGAGTATACTTTGTATGTGGTATATTAGGACGAGTTTACCTTGTATATGGTATATCAGGACGAGTATACCTTGTATCCGGTATATTAGGACGAGTATACCTTGTATATGGTATATCAGGACGAGTATACCTTGTATGCAGTATATTAGGACGAGTATACCTTGTATGCGGTATATTAGGACGAGTATACCTTTCATGTGGTATATAAGGATGAGTAAATCTTGTATGTGGTAAATCAGGACGAGTTTACCTTGTATGTGGCATATTAGTACGAGTATACCTTGTATCAGGGCCGATCAGAGTGCTCTTGCGAAAGTTTATACCCAAAAATTAGAATCCTCGTCCCCAATTACCTATTATTATTATTATTATTGAAAGACAACCCTGCACTCGGTGAGGTTGGGGTTGGCGCTCCTCTCCGACCTAACGTATCCAAGGGTAATATTTCCACCACCCCGGTAGGAGGCTTACTGCTGGGCGGTCCGCCCGGAGCAGAATCATTTCTGATTCTCTATAAATCGACATACCACATGCAAAATCTGTTGTAAAATGACCCATAACGTAACGGTAGGCAACTAGCGCACAATACGTCATATAAAATGTTTAGTAAGATGACCACAATGTGACATCTGGCTACTAGCGCGCCGGTCAGAATGCTCCAAAGACAATTTTGATCAAGGAATTGAATTCCGTGTCCTAATTTACCTGCAGTTTAATATATAGCATGCTACTTTTGTTTTGAATTAGGCCCAACTTGAATTTAAATATATTTATTTATATTTTTTCTTAATTTCGCGCGCGCGCGGGGACTTGAGGCACTCTAGGGCGCAAACTTTTCAGGATTTTATAGTTCAAGTTCATTTAACGGTGTAAAGCATGTAAAAACGTGAAAAAGTCGTTTTTTAACCAAAAGCGCGCGAGCGCGCACACATTTCCTCCGATCTATTTGAAATTGCATTTTGCAGTTACAATACATATTGTGAGTTCGCATGCAAAAAAATCAGCGTCCTACGACAATGCTAAGTTATGTTTAAATTTTCAGGAGAGTAATATACGACTTTAGCCCCCCCCCCCCCATAAACCAATACTAAATCGAGTAGAAGTTGTTGAGGTGTTGTGTCCCTCTATAGCTATAAAATAAAATATTTATATTTAAATATATCATTAATAGAGCTCTTCAACTCCAACCCCCAACACCCCTTAAAGGGTTTTCAGGACTTTTATATTATTATTATTTTACGCCCCTATTCTTGTTAATATTTAAAACATTTCACCTTTATCTTCGGAAAGAGCTGATGAGTCATATATTGAAGCCCTCTCATGATTCATAGCGACTTCAGGCATGGTACTAATGGGTTCATCAACATCAGATGGATCTGAACCGCTGTACTCCCATGGAGTTTTACACAGTTTCCTCTTTCCTTTTTTCTTTTCATTCGCTCCTAATTATCAGTATTATACGCTTAAATATAAATAATATTTTAAAAATATTGTAAAAAATCTTTTCACAGTATTGTAAAAAATCTTTTCACAGTATTGTAAAAAATTTTTTTAGCTTCATGTATTTTCTGATTTTACTTTCATCTGGAGTTCCAGGTTTATACGCTGAAGTATAAAATAATGTAAAAAATCTTTTCAAAAAATTGTAAAAATGTTTTCACAGTATTGTAAAAAATCTTTTTACCTTCATTTTCTGAATCACTCTGATCTATAGTTCTAGGAGGGTTCTCCTTCTTCTTGTCATTCCCAGCTAACAAACAGTATTATACGTTAACATATAAAATAATGATTCAAAACGAACTGTTTAAATGTACGTATGAGTAAAAAAGTGGAAGTGGATGATTGTCGCTTAATTAACGACCCTTTATCCCTGAATTTATTATTTAGGATGCTTTCTATAAATTCTCCTAATTAATTATCATTATAAAATTGTAAAATTTGTAATTATAAATGAACAATAAAACTAATTGCAGGAAAATTACCTTGACCCTCATTAACAGTAACAGTTTCTTTGTCATCTTCTCCTATTCCCTCATCCTAATAATCGTAAAGCATTAATTAGTTTAATATATTCAGTATTCATCCATTAGTTTAACATATTCCATACTTATCCATTAGTTTAATATATTCAATATTCATCCATTAGTTTAATATCTTCAATATTCATCAATTAGTTTAATATATTAAATTTATTTAGCTTGGTTCCGGATATATACATTTAATGAATTTAAGGAAGTCATAAGCCACAAGATATAATACCAATTATAAGTCACCATACTGAGTGTACACTGTACAGTATACAGTATGGCTCCTTGGTGTAAAGTTTTTTATTAAATAGTAATGCATTATACATCTTACCTTATCATTATCAACCATTTCTTCCTCGACATTATAATATTCTAGTTTAATAGTTTCATCTGAATACAGGGGATCAGTTTCTCTAGGTATATCAACCTTCTCTTCAATCGGAAGGCATCCTAGTGACTGCTCGCTATTAACCTAAATCAGATTGGCTTTAAAGGGAGTGACTGGCTAGGTATGGTTTTTAAACTGAGAGTGCAGTATTATAAAGTAAAATATGGCTTTATTTTTAAGTTCATTTTATAAAAGAAGCAGAGTTCTGTAAGGATATGAAAATGAAGCTTTTAACGTCGAAAACGTACATACTAACGAACATGAGGAACCAGGGGTCATGTCCGGATACAATTGAAGAGATCCTGATTGCAAAATACCTGGGTGAGAATATACAGGAACGAGGAAGGTCAATAGTTGGAAAGTACTTATGAGAGATCATCAGGAGGGCCACAAACTGTGAATTTACTATCATGAACCTAACCTAACCTGTGGAACAGTGGATAGGTCCCTGGTTACAAGGCAATTATGGGAGGCCTGTGCTATCCTGGCGATATTCTTCTGTTCAGAGGCCATGGTGTTCACAAAAGAACCTTGTCAGAGCTTGAGAGGATACAGTGTATGGTGGGAAAGTTCATTCTCCAGGTTCCAGCCTCCATGTCAAATGTTTTGGTCTGGTGTGATGCAGGTCTGATGCCAATTAAACAAAGGATCCAGTGCAGACAGGTCGAACCAATATGTTTCATATATGTAAGAAAAAGAACAGTAGCTGCCTGATTGATCTGCTAAGGCACATGCTTGAGGAGCCTATCAATCCCTGGGAGAAATCCTGGATGAACATACAGAAGGATGTGGGGGTGATCACCAGTTATGAGAGAAAGTATGAACGTGTTAGTGAATGCAATGGCTGACAGGGCAGTGAAGTATGTAATAAGGGTGTCACACTATACTATGGATATCTTACCCCAGCCCTGGAAATGGTTTTAACTCCAGCCCTAGTATCTAGTACCAGGACAAACACGGTTCTTTGCCAAGTTCGGATGGTAAGGCCCAGCTAGGGAACCGGTACCCAAACAGGTGGGGTTCCAGGTATGTTTGGTGTCCGCTATGTTTGGTCAGTGGGGTAAAAAAGTTAAAATTCTACTGCTGATATTATTATTTGATTTATATTATTTACTAAACTGATCAAGTCTTCAAAACCTGCTTTGTAACTTACCATAACAATGAAAAAAACTTTATCCTGAATTATATAATTAACACTTTGTAAAAAAGAACTCCTGACTTATGATACCTGTTTAGGAACGGATTTAAAATTCTGTTTGTTTTGCGTCTCTTTGCTGATCAAGTATGTAATCAGATGCACGTTATAACAGTCGTCTTTAAATTCAGTGTTCAATTTAGATAAAATTCGGGACTGCACAGGCGCAGACAGGTTGGAATTCCGCAGTAACTTGAACGCCAAGAGACTGTTAGAATATGAAATCCCAGCATCTACTGCAGCTTGATGCCTGAACAAAGGATTTATCTTGAGGTAGTAATTAATATTAAATAAAAGTAGTATTTAATTTTCCTGAAGAAGGACTTCAAGCTTTATTTCAAGTGACCCTACATGAAAAATCTGGAATTTACAACAGTAGCCTTAAAAACTTTGTCTAACCAACTATGAATTAGATAATATGATTTGCATACTTTTGTTTATTTAACCATTTGTGGGTTTTCTGCATAAGTGACTTACGCGTTTCTTGCTTGTAAAGAGCTATGAAGAAATTATCAGAATTAAACACATTTGAGTCAGAAAAACGACTTTATCTTCAACATTTTTTATTCGAACGGGCATTGCCATCTTTCCATGTAGGGTCATTTAAAATTATGCTTTCACACCTTTCAGTTCCTTTAATAGCTCTGAATTAACATTGAAAATAAAACCAAATTGGTCACTTCGTTTGCACAAAAAGATTTCTTGGGAAAATATTAATTGACGGAAAATCCTTAAACTTTTTTTTCTTCCAGAAATTTAGATTTTAACAAAATAAAAATTTACTTACATTTAAAAGGCTGTCTAAAATTAAATCTTATGATTTAAAAAAAATTAAATTATTAATTTTACTAATTGATATTCAAGTAGATTAAAATTGATTTATCTATGTTACCTAACATTCCATTTTCCTGTGAACTGAAGGAAATCCTCACAATCTGGTATGAACAAATAATTCTCAAAATTATTAAAAGCCTCCCACCCTTTCTCAACATCCAACATTTTTCTATAAGTATTATTGCATGCACTAAGTATATCTATATTTCATGATATTAACATTACATTTAGGCGCAACTGGGGTATTTCATGGGAGGGCAGAGCTTTTGGTATTGAATTTGGGGTTGATTTCTCTTGAACAAAAAAATGAAATTCTAACCATTTTCATCTGAGTTTGACCTAAGTGCTGACCCCACCTTAGTTATGACTAAAAGTTAGAGGTCTAAAAATACAAATTAAATATATCAGCATATGTAATAAGTAAAATAAAAAAATCTTCTGATAAAGTTTAATCTTTAAGTAACTAGGAAAAAAAATGGCATTTAAATTAGCTTGATATCTTAATTGACAACGAAGTTATTGCCAATTAAAGCATGCGATGTCGGGTCGAAACTTGTTTTGAGGCTCGAACTTTAGGAAGACTTTTCTCAGTAACCAGAGATCACAGGAACCTGAAATTTTGGATTTAACGTTTTTTCATAAAATGTTAGGTTTGTGCAAAATTTGAAGAATTTCCAATATCCATGACATTAACTTCCATAATTTTCAAAAACTGGCAGAGTTCATAAAGAATGACTCATTAGTAAAACGGACAAGGCCAGGGTACAAAAGTATAAGTAGGGGTCAAGATTAAAAAGAACAATGGTACAATTGATAATGTAACAGGAATACAGTTTAACGGAAAAGGGGACAAAGGACAAGAGAATGAGGGAACAAGAGACAAGAGTACATGAGCACAACAGACAATGTGACAAGATAAAATCGGACAAGGAGAAAAGAGTACAATGGACAATGTACAAGAGTACAATGGACAATAGTACAATAAATAAGAGCACAATGGACAAGATTACATTGAACACAAGTACAATGGACAAGAGTACAATGAACAAGAGTACAAAAGACAAGAGTACAAAAGACAAGAGTACAATGTTTAAGACATGGAACAAGACTTATTGTTCATAACACATGTCAAAAGCCAGTTTTATTCTAGGCCTTATTCTGTCACTTCCACTTTTCATTTATGTTTTCGCCTTTCCTATTCCCCACAGATATCATGAATATAAAAGTTATTTATTGTTGTAGGATACTGGAAAAAGAAGAATTCTTTTGCCAAAGGAGACTGCGAAAGAATAATAAATCATTCTTAAAGCAATAGTAATTCAAAAATAATTGTATTATATAAATTTGATAAAAAAAAAAAAATTTCGGTTTGAATGTCATATTTTTTTAAAGCCCAGTTTAGTTTCACTATACTTCCATTTTACCTCCAGTTTACAACACCAAGTTTAGTTCCACTTTACGCCCACTTTACCTCCAGATTTATCCCAGATTACACCAAGTAAACACCAAGAAAACCCTCAGATTACACATAGCACACACCCAGTCGGCATCCATTTTTAAACCCCCAACTAAATGAAAACTCAAGGTTCTGTTTGATGGGCGGATTCAGATTTGGATCCAGATACGTTTTTTTCGGTGTGGATCCAGGATCTGGATCTGCCTCAAAACTCAAATGGATCCTAAGCACTGTTGAGAACACCTTGTATGCTAATTGTTAAAAAAATGCTTTTTTAATCTCATATTTCTTTTCAATGGTGCAAAAATAAAATGATCAAAAATGACCTGAATTAAAATTCCAAAATTCCAGTACTGGTTAACAGTGGACTTCTCTTCAGTTCTACCCAGATCCTGATTTTTTTAAACAAAACGTTTTAATTTTTCTTACTTTGTCAAAATATACGTTTACAATTCAGCAATTGAAACTTTAGGTTGGGAAATGAAGCCTAAAGCTTCCCCAACATTCATGATTTGATTTGATGATTTACAATGCTTTGAGAAAAGCTGAACTGTTGGGGTTTGCATATATAAAATGAAGGAGAATATTATTATTTTTGATCAATATATTATCTATATTCTTTATATATAAAGTTGTAATCTCTGTTTGTCTGCTTGTTTGTTTGTCCGATGATAACTCAGAAACCCCTGAAGGCATTTGCCTCAAATTTTTGTTTGGGAACTTGGGAGAGCCACGGGAATGTTCTTAGCTTAAAATTCTAAGTTGGTTGGTTAGACTTTTATTGGTAAAAATCGTAATTTACGACAAAGTACTGGTAAACGGCGGAAGAAACTATGAGAAACCTAGGCAACACTAGGTTCCCAAGCTAGTAATTAATACTTATTAATTTTAATAATATTAATATTTTGGAGGTCATTTTGGGACATTAGAGGTCATTAGAAGGTCAAACACTGGATTTGTTGCTTCTACTGTATTCCCTAGGTTCCCAGCTTTCGCTTGATATGCATAAAGTCATAGTTAAACATTTTCATGTTTGGAGGTAATTTATGTCATTAGAGATCGTTAGAGGTCATTAGAAGGTCAAACACTGGATTCGTTGCTGCTACTGTATTCCTGGGGTTCCTAGCTCTTAATTGATATGCATAAAGCCATAGTTAAAACATTTTCAGTTTTGGAGGTCATTTAGGTCATTAGGTCATTAGAGGTCGTAAGAGGTCATTAGAAGGTCAAACACTGGATTTGTTGCTGCTACTGTCCCTGGGTTCCTAGCTTTCGTTTGATATGCATAAAGCCATAGTTGAAATATTTTCTATTTGTGGAGGTCATTAGAGGTCATTAGAGGTCATTAAAATTCAATTTTATTTTATTTTAGGAATTTCGATCACTAATTAGGCGTGCACCCAANAAAAACTCATTTAAAAATAATATTAATTAATTTAAACCAATATTACTATTACCTGGGATCAAATTGTTCTTCAGAGCTTTTAAGGCTTATGTGATGTTGAGTTTTCCGCTGTCTCAATTCTGTACTTTCTTTGCCTTTCACTTTTTGCTAACAAATAAAATTACTTAAAAAAAAAATTATATTATAAGGTTAAAAAGTTACTTACGAGAAATTCCGGCGCATTAAGTATGTGAGATACCGGGTCGTCATCTAATGTATCTACAGGCTGCTCTGGAGTCTATAATTATCATTGTTTATTTTAATTATCAAATTAATTTATAATATCAATTTTCATAAATTATGTTACTTTAGTCCGACGAACTGGTTTGTCTTTAGAGGGGCCGAAAGCTTGTTGTGATCCGGAGTCCGGAGCCTATACAATTATCAAATTTATTTTTAATAATAATTTATTATTTATCTTACTTTGGTCCGACGAACTAGTCGGTCTGGAAAGGGACCTGATGCTTGTAATCCGGGGTCCGGAGTCTATAATTATCAAATTTATTTTCAATATTAATTTATTATTTATCTTACTTTGGTCCGACCAACTAGTTGGTCTGGGAAGGAACCTGATGCTCCGGCTCCGTGATGTTTCATCTGCTTCTTACTGTCCGATGTATCATCTGTGTTGCTAGGACTGGATCGACGTTTCTTTCTTTTCCTCCTGTTCTCATATCCCGTGTTACTAAAATACGTTACTTATGCCACATATGTTTACTCGACTAGAAATAATTTTTAAAATTTGTTTATACATATTTAATTTCTCTCACCGTAAGTATCTCGATAGTCCATCCCTCAGTTCCTTTTCGGAATTGTATTCAAATTTTTCACCCCACTTGACAGTTATAGCATCTAAAAGTATTATTTAAAGTTTGAGTTTATATACAATTTTTAAAAATAAAAATTTACTTGTGATTAATGATAGCACTTTTGGGAATTCGTCCAGGATCACTGGTTTGAGAGTCATATTTTCGCCGAACCCGGGTGTCAAGCTCACATCCACAAGAAAGTCCTTCTCCATTATCTGCAGAAGTATTAATGAAATCAAACAGCTGTTAAATAATAACCCATTGGAATATTCACCTTAGGAAGTAAAGTATATGCAGTGACGTAAACACTCTGCCCAGTTATTAGTTTGACCACCGATTGTGTGTACTAGAAATATGATATTGCAGTTAAAAATAATTAATTATTGTAATTAAATATTTTTACCTGTGAAAAGAACGCTTCATCATGCAGTGATGTTTCTAATTCTTTTAACTCCTCTTAATTAAATATATATTATAAAGAAATTATATTAAATTACTATGTTTTAAATTCTTAAAATATTTACTTAAATTCGCAACTTTTTTCATCTTGGGAATATTTGCAGCTTTGGAGCTGGCGTTTGACGTGTCCATACAACTTATCTCGGCTGACAGTTTTCCCTATAAAAAATATAACATAAAAATCATATAATTATATAATTAGAAATTATGTCATGTAATTACCGAAGTCTTCTGAAGGACATTACTGAATTTGTTGTGATAGTATTGAAACCAATCCTTAATATTTGCCTCCAGCTGATCGTATCTGATGGTCAGGGTGGTTTCCAGTCGTTGGATACCGTTAATTAGGCGATCATGATCATTGTAGATCTTCCGTTTGATGCAGGGTGTGGAAGTTTCTAGGTTGAAAACGGAACTATAACCTGCAGCATTCTCGTCCAAATAGTCTATAAAATTATTTACATTCAAATATCAGTGTATATAAGCCCTCAACCCCCACACAGACATACAAATCAAAAATTAAGTGGGTTCATGATAAGGTTTATCATTAAACAGTGAATTTTCAAAATCTTCCAAATCCGCTAAATTAAATATATATAATTAAGAATATATAGTTAAATTACTAGGTTTAAAATTCTTAATATATTTACCTAAATTCCCAATTCTTTTCACAGAGGGATTTTTTGAAGATTCGGAGCTTATTGACACATCCACAAGATTGATCTTAATATTCATTCATCAGTTTAATATATTCAATATTTATCCATTATTTTTATATATTTAATATTCATCCATTAGTTCAATATATTCAATATTTATCCATAACTTTAATAAATTCAATATTCATCCATTAGTTCAATATATTCAATATTCATCCAGTAGTTTAATGTATACAATATTCATCCATTAGTTCAATATATTCAATATTTATCCATTACTTTAATATATTCAATATTCATCCATTAGCTTAATTTATACAATATTCATCCATTAATTTAATATATTCAATATTCATATATCAGTTTAATATATTTAATATTTATCCATTATTCTAATATATTCAATATTTATACATTAGTTTTAATTATTTAATATGCATCCATTAGTTTAATGTATACAATATTCATTTATTAGTTCAATATATTTATTATTTATCCATTAATTTGATATATTCAATATTCAACCGTAAGCTCTTTATATGTTCAAACTAGGGTTTCCACGAAACAGTCATTTTTCTCGCGCAACAGTTGCGTGGTTTTGCACGAAATGACTTTTTTTTGCACGAAATTCCGCATCATTTTCGTATCAATACGAAACCAGTTCTGCACGAAATTATGCATTCATATGAAATAAATAATTTTTTTGCACAAAATTTCGCATGAATACGAAATTTACGTCAATTTTTTTTGCTTCTGATATTCGCATGAATACAGGTCATTTTTGCATGTAATTTTGCAATGCCCATGAATACGAAAAATTGAAATTTGTGTACAGCAATATTGAGCATGAAAAGGAAATTAAGTAATATTTGTTGCATGCCATATAGTGCATAGATAAGAAAGATTTTAATATTTGAACAGTATGGTGTGAATTAGTTTCAGTAAAAAAAACAACTTCAATCGAACCCTAAGTTCTCTCTAAGTTCAGACCGGACTGATGATCAGTGAATGTTATAATGATAAATTAATTCGTGAGTAACTCAGTTACTACTTGAGATTGATTGCCGGTAAACTGTGTAATAGTCGGTAACGTCCGGTGACCTAAAACCTGAGAATTGGGGCTCATTCGGCCAGCATGTGTTAGCAACGAGCAGGCTGGAGTATAGTTGGTTTAAGGTTTAATTTTAAATTTATTCATCATTTCCTGGAATTGTTTCTCGAAATTTAATGAAATAACAAATTATTTCGAAATAACGAAATAGCAGGAAATAACGAGATACACAAATACCAAGATTTTCTTCAGAATTTGCGCGAAATACCTTTTGCGCATCAATGCGCAAAAACATCGAAATTTCGAGCAATTTTTACTCGAAACGTAAGCAAATCTTTGGGCAATTTTTGAACGAAAATTTCGACTGGAAACCATAGTTTAAACCCAATTTAGCCTTCAAACTAAACTACTCAAATACTGATAAAGGTATCTGCGCCAGGGGTCAATACAATTCCATTTCTGATCCCAAATAGGATCGGGGTTGAAAGTACATTTAGGGGCATGAAAGTACACTTTATATGTAATTGTGAACTTCGACAAGTTTTTGTGTACGTGTACTACACTTCAGAATCGTGTACTGCATTTGGGGTGTTAAAAGATGTAAATACTAGTATTTAATATAAAAGATAAATTATGATATACAGAAAAACACTCCCTTGCAGTAAATATTCTACAGTATGGAATTTTATTTCTACAACTTTACATATACTTCCAATGTTTACAATAACAACATGCATTATTTATTTCTGCCCCATATATCAATCAATCAACATTTGGGATTGATCAGATGGAATTATATGGACCCCTGATCTGCGCATTTTTAAAGATCCAATTTCAGCTTGGTTCCGGATATATACATGTAATGAATTTAAGCAAGTGATAAGCCCTAAGATATAATCCCAATTATAAGTCACCATACTGAGTGTACACTGTACAGTATACACTACAGTATTATACCTTCGTGTTAAGGTTTTTTTTTATTGAAAATTAATGCATTATACATCTTACCTTATCATTATCAACCATTTCTTCCTCGACATTATAATATTCTAGTTTAATAGTTTCATCTGAATACAGGGGATCAATTTCTCTAGGTATATCAACCTTCTCTTCAGTCGGAAGACATCCTAGTGACTGCTCGCTATTAACCTAAATCAGATTAGTTTTGAAAGGGAGTGACTGGCTAGGTATGGTTACTGAAATGAGAGTGCAGTATTGTGAAGTGAAATATGGCCTTATTCTCAATTTCATCTTATTTAAAGACAGAGAAGCATGTATTGTATAAGTATTGCGTATAGTGTTGACTGTTGGTGAGATATGTAAAATACTTAAAATTCTACTCCTGATATTATTATTGGATCTATATTATTTACTAAACTGATCAAGTCTTCAAAACCTGCTTCGTAACTTCCCATGACGATGAAAAAAAACTTTATCCTGAATTATAATTAACAGTTTGTAAAAAAGAACTCCTGACTTATGATTACCTGTTTAGGAACGGATTTAAAATTCTGTGTGTTTTGCGTCTCTTTGCTGATCAAGTATGTAATCAGATGCACGATATTACAGTCGTCTTTAAATTGAGCACACAGCGTAGATATAATTTGAGACTGCACAGACGCAGACAGGTTGGAATTTCGCAGTAACTTGAACGCCAGGAGACTGTTAGGATAAGAAATCCCAGCATCTACTGCAGCTTGATGCCTGAGCAAAGGATGTATCTTGAATATATTTCAGTTATTTATAGTATTTTTAATTAAAAGATATTATTTATTTTACTTTAAAGGAATCGCAATTTCAAGTGACCCTTCATAAAAAGGCTCGATTTACAACCTTAACCTTAAAAACTTTGCCTAATCTACTAATAATTCGATATTCATGGGTTTGATTATTTTTACTATTTAAAGTTTCTCTGCAAAAGTGACTGACGCGTTTATGCTTGTAAGAAGCACTGGACAAATTAACAGAATTAACCCATTTTGAGTCAGAATAACGACCTTATATTCCACGATTATGATCAGACATTGCTATCTTTCCATGGTGGGTCACTTAAAATTACACTTACACGCCTTACAGTCCTTTATAATAGCTCGGAATTTACAAAGAAAATAAAACTATATTCAGCACTTTCTTTGCACAAAATGATTTCTTGTAATATAAATTGCAAGAAAATCATTTACCCATAAATCCAACGTTCTTTCAAAAATTAAGATTTTAACAAAATAATAATATTCTTACATTTAAAAGGCTATCCAAAATTGAAAATTACGATTTTGTGTTATTATTTTTGACAAATTAAATTAACTTAATTAATTTACATTGAAGTTTGGATTAAAATTGATTTATCAATGTTACCTAACATTCCATTTTCCTGTGAACTGAAAGAAATCCTCACAATCTGGTATGAATAAATAATTCTCAAAATTATTAAAAGCCTCCCATCCTTTCTCAACATCCAACATTTTTCTATAAGTATTATTGCATGAAGAGAAAAGAGTTAAGGAGATCTAGAATCTACATTTCATACAACTTTAGAGGTGTAACTGGGGTATTTAATGGGAGGGTCGGGGGCAGAGCTTTAGCTATTTGATTTTTTATGAACAAAATCATAAAATTTTAACCATTTTCATCTCAGTTTGACCTAAGTGCCTCCAATACCCCCCCCCCCCTACCCCAGTTATGTTTAAATTTCTACACTGATTTCTTATTTTTGAGTAAAAACATTTCTAGTTATCACTCTACATTTCTTCTTCAAAATTTAATACTCCTATGCTCTTTTCATTTTGTGTCAGTTATTGATACACTTACTAAACATATTCCAAAATGGACTAGTGCAGGAATAGCAAAGGTTTAGATCTGATTCTTTTAATGTCCGCTACTATAGTACAGAGCACATTACAACAGCAAGGGAGATGAACAGCGGCTGAGGGGTGGAGTTACCTATCAGCTCTACAGCAGCAAGGGAGGTTTTTTCTATTACGTAAAGACGTTTGATGCGGTTGCCATCTACTTTTTTTAATGAGAAAGGGCTTACCATTTTTACTGCAATACAAATCTAAATAAAAAGCTTGTAAGAAAGCAGATTTTTAAGTAGACAAAAACGATGTTTTCCTTTCAATACGAGGAACTTTTTCATTTTATTTGGTAAAATGTTTAGAAGTTTGACCAATGAAATATGAGAGGTTGAAACTTTTTTGTGAGATAGCACTGATCCACAGCATATGATCTTGAAATCCACTGAGAAGCTTTTAATGAAAGGGATAAGTGCTTGATCTCTCAATCTTAGCTTTCCTTGCAGGATACAAACACCAAAAGTAATCCAAGAGAAATTAATTAATTCCTTTGAGGAAAAAAATGTATCTTCACATCACATAAGTTTTAACCTCAGTTAATATTTTGTGGTGTTAAATATCAACACATCTGAAGCATTGAACTACATCTCTTCTAACTTCATGTTCCCTTCTCTAGTCAAGTTTTACAAGTCATTAACTCAACATCGGTGAGTTTCATCATCACAAGCTCCTGCCAAACATTTATAACAGACGGTTGCAACTTTTCTTTTACTCTCACTTTCCCCCTCTTCCCCACAGTAAGGATTCGGGAAGATATTGGCCAGGGGATCAGGGTTAAATCCATGGAGTTGTTTCCTTTTCTTTCTTGCCTTTCCTAAAAATAAAATCTGTTTACATCAATCAATCAATCAATCAATCAATGAATCAAAGTTTTAGAGACGCCCTATGAATACATTCAATCCCAAAACGACTATGCTAAGTTGGGATTAAAATAATAAATTTTATTACGATTTTACTTATATACTTAAAGTCTTTTTGTGCTTTTTTGGTTCAGTTAAAATCTACAAAAACAAAATAATTCTATTCTTTTCTTTAAAAAACAAATTGATTTGATTTGTTGTGGGTTATCTAGAAAAGAATGTGACTAAATTGACAATTGTGACGATCTGAAGATAGAATTTGGACTCTGCTTTCAGGTTTTTATAAGGTAGAGCCAACGTGAACTGGAACTGGGAAGTAAAAGAATCAAGTGTAGAATAAAAGGAACAAAACAAAAAGTATAAGCATACATAAATAAATACATAAATTCCATACAACTGCCTCTAAGGTATCATCCTTTGTGGGTTACCCTGTATTCAGAAACAATGGCGCTTACACCCAGTCACACGGACATAGAAGCATAATTTTAATTGTGGACATAAATGAAAAAGATAAAATTTATCTATTGAAATATTTTATTGATTTACCTTCCTCCAGTGAAGTTCTGTTCAGCAGTCCCCTCTGTATTGCAGTCCTCTTGTACTGATTCAAAGATTGGTAAAAATTGGATAACAAATTTTAAACTTCGTATTTTTATTAGTTTTTTTTCTCACCCTTTATCGATAACCATCTTTCATTATAGCACATCTTTAACTCTCGAATTGAGCTTAATATGCTGTGACTTTGTGAGTTTTGCGAATTTTAAAACACTCCTAGTTGGCTCTAAAATAGACAGGTCAGCAAACCTGACATTCCTTAAATCCGAAGTAGTTCATCACTATAGTTTATCTAATTTGTACTTATTTATAAACTTCCGTTACTAAATAATTTTTAACGTTTATTTATGTAATTCATAACTATTAAAGGGAGTGTTCGCAAAAAATGTAAGGGGGTATAGGCTTACGGCTAAAAATAATCGTTTCAGAAAGTTATAATATACGACTCGGATCGTAAAAAAAAATCAATTTAATTTCAAACAAATAATTACAACCTATAGTCTTCGATTATTTTTCGGATACCAGGCACGATATGAGACCATTGATCTAATTTATTAATTTAATTGATGTTACTATTAACATACAAATGTTAATGCTAATTGATATTAATATAGAAATTAACATTTAGGTATATTTAATATTAAGGTTAATGTTAACTTTATATAATGACAACCATAAACTTTATGAATTGCTTAATGTCAATGTTAATGTTAATGTTAATGTTAACTGTAGATACTGACAACCATAAACTTTAATGAATGGTTTAAAGTCAATGTTAATGTTAATGTTAACTTTATAGAATGACAAGCATAAAATTTAAATAATAGTTAAAAGTCAATGTTAATAAACGTTAACATTAACATTAACATTAACATTAACATTGACTTTAAACAATTCATTAAAGTTTATGCTTGTCATTATATAATGTTAACATTAACATTAACATTGACTTTAAGCTATTGATGTTTACTTATATGTTAATATCAATTAACATTAACATTTGTATGTTAATATTAACATTAATTAAATTTATTAAATCTTCAATGGTCTCATATAGAGCCTCTAATGATTTTTCGACGCATTCGTATGTAATATTTAATATTCGTTTTGTATACAATGCACTTAAAACGCCGAAAACGCTACGTTCTTCAGTATAAGTCTTTTTAAACAATTTTTTCCTTATAAACGCAACAGATAGAAGTAAGATTAGTAGCGATCAAAAGCGATTTTTATTCGCCGTAAGCCTAAACCCCCTTTCATTTTTCGCGAACACTCCCTTTAACAAATAATTTTCTGAATTTGTTTCTAGAGTCTCACAAAAAAAAACAAAAAATCCTTTCATTTTACAACTTTCCTTGACGCAAGTAGTATGATGAAGATCACTGATTTTACTGCATCGAATTTCTGATTGAAATTCAGGTTCTAAAAAAGGTTCATAATAATGAAATTTTAAGACGGAAGATGTTGAAGGTAATCCATCAACAAAAAAGTTTTTTTTTCTAGCAAATCATTAATAATTATTTTACTTAAAATGCAGGGCAAAATCAATATCTATTTATGTCATTGTAATGGGTATTGTTAAGAGCGAAAAAGTTTATTTTGGGAATTTTATTTTGACCTAAAAAATCTAGAAAAATTTAAAATCACAGCAAAACCTTTTTTGAACGCATGATACCCATTTCAATAACATATATAGTTTTATTCAGTTTTACTCAAATTATTTAAAAGCGGCTCGATAAAGTTACGTAATCACCCTTGTAGGGTAATTAAGTAACTTTTTCACCCTATAATTAGACAAATTAGGTATGAAATTTGAAATTTTAATAGCATGGTGATTAAGTGACTTTTTCGCCCTGTTGTAGGGCGATAAAGTTACTTAATCACCCTACAATGGGAGATATTAGGTGTGATTAATTCCAATGAAATTGAATAAAAGATATCAACTTTTATTAACGTTTAAAATTAGTCAAAAAATATTTTTTTTTGTATTTTTAATAAACTATTGATTCGAGACAAACAATTTTAAAACATTAGAAACATTTGCCCAGGATTTCTTTTCAGTAGCTTTACCACTACAAAAGGTAGAATTACAAAAGGTAGAATTACAAAAGGTAGAATTACAAAAGGTGGAATAACAAAAGGTAGAATTACAAAAGGTAGAATTACAAAAGGTAGAACAACAAAAGGTAGAATTACAAAAGGTAGAACGACAAAATGTAGAATTACAAAAGGTAGAACGACAAAAGCTAGAACGACAAAAGGTAGAATTACAAAAGGTGGAATGGCAAAAGTTAGAACGACAAAAGGTAGAATTACAAAAGGTAGAATTACAAAAGGTAGAATTACAAAAGGTATAATTACAAAAGGTATAATTACAAAAGGTAGAATTACAAAAGGTAGAATTACAAAAGGTAGAATCACAAAAATTGCAATGACAAAAGGTAGAACTACAAAAGGTAGATTACAAAAGGTAGAATTACAAAAGGTAGAATTACAGAAGGTAGAATTCCAAAAGGTAGAATTACAAAAGGTGGAATGACAAAAGGTAGAATTACAAAAGGTAGAACGTTCTAAAGGAATAATTTTCCAATTTTCAAACAGGCTATTACAAAATAGCCACAGCGCTCGGCCCAGAAATCGTCTTATACTACCCTAACGCAACATAATGTAACATTTTTGTAACTGTCGACATTTTGTAGCAGTCAACGTTTTCTAGATGACCAAACGCTACATGCTGAATTCTAACTGGAAATGAAGTTTTGGGAGTTCTAAAAAAAGTTTCGCAGATTTTCCTGCAAAAATCGGAAAATTTTCTTGCTTGTCAAAAATTGGAAAATTCTACCTTTCAAACGTTCTACCTTATGTAATTCCACCTTTTGTAATTCTACCTTTTGTACTAAAGCCCATTTTTTTGTTGCTATTTTTACATTTTTTGTTCCACCAGCCCCCCCCCCTCATCTTCATTTTTTGTTTGATTTTATTGTTAAACCTGGAAATGGAGCATACACGGCTGGGTACACAATTCCAAGTTGAACAAACATGGTTCGAAAATCCTAAATATTACATTTTTAAAAAAAGATTAACTTTAGATACTTTTTCAAAAACATTACAATCAAAATAAGTATTGATTGCTGGATAAATAAATAAAGAAACGATAAAACAAAATATAAAATAATTTAAACCTTTTATATATATAAATTTGGAATAACTTTATGAAATATCATTTTCAATAGTTCTCAGTTGATCCTTTATGTTGGGATAAACTAACCCATAATCGTACCGTTTCTCGTGGAGGTAGAATGTTCGGGTCTGGAAAATTGTAGAGCACAAATTCTAAAAATATGTTTGATAAGAGAAAATTACCAGAAAATCCAACATATCTTTAAATTTCTAAGCTTCGCAAAAAAGCATAGACTACATAATTTATGATTTTAATTAGATTTTAAAAACTCCTGGAGATTCCGAAATTGTTAAATTTTAACCTTAAATATTTAGAAAACAAAATTTAGAAAAATTATTTCCCCCCCCCCCCATTTTTTTATTCATTTAGCGTAGAGTTTTTTTTTGTTGAATTGGGGGTAAACCTCAATTTTAGGTGAAAATAACTTTTTCTTCACGAAAGTAAAAATTACAAATTGATGTCAAGCATTTCCTTCATATCCCCAAAGAATAAATACCCCAGTATTAAATACCTATTACCTATCATCTTACGCTCTATTGCCTGCCTCATCTCCTGATACAGCTGTTTGTCCTGAACATCAACATTTTTCAAAATGTCCATCCTTTCCATGCAATGTTCCATATTTTTTCAACGATTTGCAAACTCGCGGATTTCTTCAATGATGAGGTTTGAAATTAGACCTGTGTATGTACATTGTAAATGCCTGGTACAGGTCTAAGGAAGGGTATAGAAGGGTAATCAACTGTGAAACCTTTACATCTGTGGAGCTGGAGGAAGGATATAAATATAGGTTTCTTTACTAATAATTTTTTTTACTGATAATCGTTGTTATTTTAAGGAACCCGCCATTTAACAAGAGAAGCATCTCCGATTCACAACAAAAACCTTGAAACATTAATCTGATCAATGATCTAGGAGAACTTTATTTTAGATTAATAATTAAAATTCGTCAAACAAGAGAATTCAGAAAACAAAAACATTCATTAAACAAGAGAATTCAGAAAACAATAACATTCATTAAACAAGAGAATTCAGAAAACAAAAACATTCATTAAACAAGAGAATTCAGAAAACAATAACATTCATTAAACAAGAGAATTCAGAAAACAAAAACATTCATTAAACAAGAGAATTCAGAAAACAAAAACATTCATTAAATAAGAGAATTCAGAATACAACATAATCCAGAGAAAACAAGAATACTCCGAAAACAAGAGGATTAAAAAAGCAGAGGATTTAAAAAACAAGTATTCAGAAAACAAGAGAATTGAGAAAGCAAGAGAATTTAAAAACAAAAAATCTAAAAACAAGAGAATTCAGAAAGCAAGAGAAAGAAACCCGAAAAATTCAGAAATTTAGGAAACAAAGAGAATTCAAGAAGCAAGAGAATTAAGTATACACTAAAAGTAAAAGAAAACAAGAGGATTTAAGAACATGAGAGAATTCAGAAAACAAGAGGATTAAAAAAGAAGAGAATTCAGAAAGTGAAAATATTATGAATATTTTTTTATCTTAAGTGAAATGTCAACTTTGACTGTCTTAGCAATATCAACTTTAAATAAACTATCGACTCTGTAATATTTACATGTTTTCCCATTTTTTCAGAGGATTTTCAAAATGTATATTTTAGATCAGTAGCTCAAACAATAAAAAAGTTATTGGCTATTTTAGTCGGCATTTGGACTTTTCTGTTACCCCCCTATTCTTAAAGAAAAGCTTCAAACATGATTACATTTTTGGCACAAAATACAGATAAAAACGGTATTTTCTAAAACATCTTAATTAGGAATATTATTTTTATGCAGGGTTTTACTTCTGTTTTAAACCAAAAGTTTAGATTTGATTTAAAACAATAGCATTATAGTTAAAGCAATAGTTTAATTTTAATATAATTTTACGATATATTATCACGTGACATTTCTCTCTTTTTTGTATTTGATAATTTAGCTTTCATCAACCATGTTTAATCACGAATAATTTTATGTTTCCCTGTCTTTTCACTTTGATATTTGCTAACTCAAGATTTGACGAACAACGTTTAACTGACAACGTTTAACAAATTAACTGCAACATCTGGTCTGGTCCAATTCACCCCCTATCCCCCTCCCCCTTCCACCCTACTGTATCCTGAGATTTGTCCGGTCGTGAGAATAGCATAGAGGGGGGAGGGGCCACCCTCATCCACACTCTCAGATTTAGGATAATGGCGGCGTCTTAGATTTATAATTCTAACCGGGTCTCTGACTTAAATCGGGCTCATCAGATCTAGATTTTATTATTTTATACCATCTTAAATGTCGATTATATCGTAACAATATATCACTTAAATTAAAATAACTTAATATCTCTCTAATCAACCAACATATATCTAGCTAAATTAACTTAGGTGTATATCTCTGGATAAACTCATAATGGATACTAACTGCTTACAATATCTGGATGAACCAATCTTGTAGAATATATCTGGATGAATTAACTCTGCTTACAATATCTGGATGAACTAATCCTGTTGAATATATCTGGATGAATTAATTCTGCTTACAATATCTGGATGAAATAATCCTGTTGAATATATCTGGATGAATTAATTCTGCTTACAATATCTGGATGAACTAATCCTGTTGAATATATCTGGATGAATTAATTCTGCTTACAATATCTTGTTGAATATATCTGGATGAATTAATTCTGCTTACAATATCTGGATGAACTAATCTTGTTGAATATATCTGGATGAATTAATTCTGCTTACAATATCTGTATGAACTAATCTTGTTGAATATATCTGATGAATTAAAACCAGTTTATACGTGGATGAACTAAACCTGGTGAATATATCTGGATAAAATAAACCCAGTTTAAAGGTGCACCCAGTAAACTTTAGTAGAGAAACCAGTATAAAAAACCAAGTTTTTAAAAATAACATGGATATTGAATTCCTTCTTAACCAGACAAAGCTTCTAAGGGTACCATAGTGAATCGGACATGCATACAACTCAATCAATTGAGGGTAACTTGAAAAAACGTTGACAGTCTTTTTAGATGTAGATAAAAATTAACAAGGGTTGAATGTTATATTCCTCGAAATTTATAAGTTTAAAAGAAAAGCCAAGGATTAAATTTTGTTTTAAAAGTTAATATTATTTCAGGAGGTCACATATTTTCTTCCCCCACCCCTTTTTACTTATTTTCTTATTTCTTCCTTTGTATCTTTGTTAAATAAGAAAACAAACCTTAATATACTCTTGTCTTCTTTCTGCTTGTGCTCTTAGCTTAGGTTCTAAACTGTCAAATAATTCCTTAAAAAAATACTTGTAAAGCATACTGAACACAATTTTTGACATTTAAAACTACAAAAAACGGAAATGAGAATTACATATCCCAATTGAGATCGTTCCACATTAATTTAGTCTATTTATTACCGTTATATACAAACTGAATCTATGTACTCCCTCTTCTAGCGATTGTGCTCTTTCCTAAAAGTATATTAATTATTATTGTTAATTGGTATACAGGTTAACTAAGAAAACGGGTTAAGTAATGTTTTGCAAATCTTGTTTCCTTTTAATTTTAGAAATGAAAATATTTCAATGTGACAAAAAAACGAAAATATTTTGTAACATTAAAAAAAATCCGCCAAACCAAATTTTGGTTAAAAAAATTTAATATAAATTTAAACCTAAAACATTAAAAAATTTTTTTTACTAAAATTATAACCTGCATTTGGGAGCTGGAGGATTTATATTTTGAGATTGCATAAATATTTGAGGAACTAGGCTTCTTATCATCCTGTATTTCAGTTTCCAAATAGTTGTAAGCTGAGTTATCTTGAAACAGGAAGTGGTCGTTCATCGGAATATCCTTAACAAATACAACTTTTACTTAATTCTGGGCATTTCAAAAATATTTGAATTTTTCTTAATCATGGTCATTTTAAAAAGTCAAAATATCATTTAAAACATATTTCAAAGCAAATTGTCTCAGAATTAAAAAAAATAATAAGAGAGTAAATGGTACTTTATCCTCAAACGTTATAAATGGCCGGTTTAACTTAAATTGAATGAACCTGAGTCAGTTTTTAGACCAATAGCAATAATATTTTAAACTAGCTGAAGGGCCCCATGTTACCCGTGGAAAAAAAATTTCGAAAAAAAAATAGTTCGAAAAAAAGTTAGATTTTTTTTTAGCCTAGAACAGCCCTTGGCCACTCATGAGGGTCCACAAAAAATTTCAGCCCAATGGGTTCAGCCGTTTGGCCGGCTATACGCAATATATCTATATACGAATGTCTTGTTTTACTATATAGATGAAAATTAAATAAATAATATTCTTTCTATAAAACGAAGTAATCCTGTTTGTCTGTCTGACCGTTTGTTTGGATGTCCGGTTATAACTATAGAACCCCTGGGCCTTCTTTATCTCAAATTTTGATAAGGAAACTCGATTGAAAAGTTCTCAGTTTGGTTTAAAAGTTCTATGTTAAGTGGGTTGAAATTTGTAGGGAAATCTTCAGGCGAATGTGGATTCCTAAGCTAGTTATATAATAAAGCTCTTCGCTCATATATATATTGGCATGTGGATTCCTAGGCTAGTTATATAATAAAGCTCTTCGCTCATATATATATATTGGCATGTGGATTCCTAAGCTAGTTATATAATAAAGCTCTTCGCTCATATATATATTGGCATGTGGATTCCTAAGCTAGTTATATAATAAAGCTCTTCGCTCATATATATATTGGAATGTGGATTCCTAAGCTAGTTATATAATAAAACTCTTCGCTCATATATATATATATATTAGTTTTAGCTGACTGATCGACTAGACCAAATTGGCTTAAATTTTATGAAGAAATCCATTGGTACCCCGGGGGTGACATGGGCGATTTCTTGTTCTTAATTAAATCTAAAATTTTCCACGGGCAACACCGGCACTAGAGCTAGTTTTCTATACAATAAAAAACTACCCATTTTGTCATTTAGGAGTTACGTTTAAACTTGATTCAACTTCCCCCCTTTATCTCCCCTCAAGTTGTTGTTGTTACTAACCTCGTATTCATGGGTTTCTGCTTCCACCTCCTCTGCATCACATAGTTCATGTTTAACTAGAGCTCCCTGCTTCCCGGATACATCAAGGGGAAACTTGTCCTTGTCAGAGGAAGAACAATGCTTTACAGATTTATTCACTTCCTGGTAATACAAAAAATGTTTATCTTAAGAAAAGATTGATTTTCCAGTTTCAAATCTTGATTTTTAAATTCCAAAACATTGATTTTCAAATTCCTAAAGATTAATTAAATTCCATAACATTGATTTTTAAATTCCAAATCATTGATTTTTTTAATTTCATAACATTGATTTACAAATTCCAAAACATTGATTTCTCAAATGCCAAAATATTGATTCTTAAATTGCAAATCTTAAATTGCAAATCTTTAATATTTAAATTTCAAAACATTGATTTTTAAATTTCAAAACATTGATTTTTGAATTCCAAAACATTGATTTTTCAAATGCCAAAATATTGATTTTTAAATTCCAGAACTTTGATTTCTTAAATTGCAAATCATAAATTTTTAAATTACATATCATTGATTTTTAAATTTCAAAACATTGATTTTAAAATTCCAAAACATTGATTTTTAATTTTCAAAACATTGATTTTTAATTTTCAAAACATTGATTTTTAAATTCCAAAAAATTGATTTTTAATTTTCAAAACATTGATTTTTAAATTTCAAAACATTGATTTTTCAAATTCCAAAACATTGATCTTCCAAGTTCCAAGAATTAATTTCTAATTGCAAAACATTGATTTTTCAATTCTGAGACATTGATTTTCTAATTCCAAAACAACGAATTTCCAATTCACAAACATGGATTTCTTTAATCCTAAAACATGGATTTTTCAATTCGAAAGCATTGATTTCTTGCATTTCATCTCAATCAGAAACAAAACCTATCAAACCATTGACTTAAACATTCCCAAACCTCTGAAATGGAGAGACGGGCATCATTTTTGTTGTCCAGCAAAACTGATTTTTTTATTTCTTAAGATGATTCTTTTCCCATGAAAAACAACATAAGTCTCATTTTTAAAGTGATTTTGAGAAAACTCGTATTTTTTTCTACAGATCTTATGCCTAATATTAAAAAATTTGCCAGAACAAGAAACTTTTAATTAAAATATACGAAATAATGTAAATCCATTCTCTCCTCGTGGGAAAATAACAAATTTCCCCTTCAAAAAATCAAATTAAACTTTTGTAAATAAGAAAACTAAACAATAACCAACATTTCTCCAAGGTTTTGATTAATAAGTGATCAGTTCAAAGTTCAGCTTATACAGTTTAACTTATTTATAAGTTTTAATCTGAAAGAAAATAATTTAAAAATAAATTAAAGTAATAAATAATAAATATTAACCCCAGGTTTTCTAAGACAAGAGAATTGAAGATCGTACCTTGTCTTCTTGAGAAATGAAATTTTGCTTGTTTTGTGTCTCTTTACTCATGAGGTACATTATCAAGTGTATAATGTTGCAATCATTCTGATATTCCTTCTTCAGAGCAGATATAACGCGAGATTGCACATGCGCAGAAAGGCTGGAATTCCTCAGTAACTTGAACGCCAGTAGACTGTTAGGATAAGAGAGATCTGAATCTACAGAAGCTAAGGCCTGATGCCTAAAAGAGAATAAAGCTTCAATTACTAAGACATTAGTCTTAGATTTGAAGAGTGGAATGTCAGATTCACAACATTTAAATTGTTTGATCAAGTATATAAGAGATATCTTAGTTTGTCTGTATGAAAATGGATTAATTTTGATAGTAGTTTTGCTGCATAATTAAATCTTCATTAGAAACCCGTTTAAAGAGTACTCTACAGATGGAGATTCACTTGAAATTACATTTACAGCTTCTTAGAATGAGATTTGTGAGTACATCTAATCTGACTACTAAGGCTGTTCTATACTTCCAATCTTCAATCATTAAATCTCATCTAATATTAAAAAATTTAATTTCTTCTGTGGGTTTTAGCTTTGAATACTGGATAGACATTATCTTTTAATAAAAATCAACAGTTAAGCCTAAATTACATTTTTTTTTAAATCCTGAATTTTCCATAAAATTTAAATTTTCCTAAAACAATGATTTGCCATGTTTCACTAATTATATTAAAAACTAGAAGCATTAGAAATAAAAGGGATTTGAATGATTCTTTGAATTAAAGGGACTATAAGCGTAATTCTAAGTGACTCTCAAGGCAAATATGACAACGGTACCCTTGACAGCTTTGTCTGATTGAGTAATACTTATATATCAATGTTTATCACTTTAAAAACTAATGATTTTCAATAAATTCGCTACAAAAGTAATTTTCGCATTTCTACTTCAAGAAAATATTTAGAAGTTTTTTGAATTTAACACTTTTTACGCGTAGAAAAATGACAATATATTCCAAATTATCGTTTAGACAATGGTCTGAAGGGTACGGTTGTGAATCGGGTATTGCCATCCTTGTCAGGATGGTGACTTAAGTTCCTCTTACAGTTCCTTTCAGACAATTGTCTATTCACAGTTGAAGCCTGACAGATTTACAAAAGCGGAAATTTCCAGCAATAGTTTTAACAAATATATAAACTTTAGACCTGATATTCCATTTTCCCGTAAACTGGAAAAAATCCTCATCATCAGGATTAAAAACATAATTTTCAAATCTATTAAACTCCTCCCAGCCTCGTTCTATGTCCAGCATTGTTCTGAAGTAAAATTATGTATATTAAAGGGACTGTAAGCTTAATTTCAAGTGACCCTCCATGCAAAGCATGAGTTACAACCGTAACCTTAAAAGCTTTGTCTGAACAAGTATGAATTAAATTTCAATATTTATAATTTAGAAAACTGATAACTTCCAACTCGTGATTTGTCAAAGTTATTACGTATTACTGAAGGAACACAGAAAAGTATTAACAGAATTAAACATATTCTTGATCAGAAAAACATTTCAAAGATATCATTGAATTAACGCTGATCAGTCCCTTTAAACAGCACTGTTAATGTCTTTCTATTTTATTTCTTATAATAAATTTTAGGGTTTTTTAATGGCCTGCGAGCAAGTGATGCACGATATCCTCTTTAGAATACAATGTTATTCAGGGTACAAACCCTTTTAGTGAGTTTTATTTAACAAAAAAAGTAAAAAAAAATCCTGGCTTATCTTTCAATACCCCGTTAGTTCTCAGGAAATTATTATTTTCAAGACCACTGACAGGCTTGTTCTATTTGAGGTGATGTGAGCTGATGTCCTTGTACTGTAGTAATGTACTAAATGCTAAGATGGTATTACCGGATTTCCAACAGTACCCTTAAAACCTAAATCTGATCAAAATAGTGGAAGATACCGTCACTTCCTGACTCGAAACTTCACTTTGGCAAAGAAACTGCAGATTAACAATTTAAAGAGACAAAAACATGAATATCTAGCTCATAGTCTTTAAGGGTACCGTTGTAAATCGGGCATTACCATCTCTGAATGGAGATTCGCTTGAATTTACGCTTACAGTCCCTTTCATCAACGACTCTTTCCTTTGCCGCTTGCACTGTTTTGCCTGTTTTGGTTGAATTGTTATAAACAGTAAACGAGGGTTAGCTGTCAAAAGATATCAACATTTTCGCAGCATTTTAATCTAAAAAATTAGATAAAAATATATGTTTTTTATTGAGCACTGATAGTTCAACTTGTGTACAAAACAGAATTTAATTCTCGAATTGTGGAATTCAAATAATGTAAGCCTGTAAGGTCTAAATAGTAAAATGTTGTGCAAAGGTGAGACAAGATGATCACAGATTTGTTAACTTGGATTTTCTCGTTTACTTTTAACATCTGTTGTACTATTGGATCACAATTAATTTTCGTTATGTTGTTAAACCTTCCGCTGTTTAATCTTATCGACTTGACTTGCAATGCTGGGTTATAAGTTTCAGCAGTCATTAAATGCGTAATTTGACTTAAAATACAATATCTAGTTCGGTTTAAGCTCGTTTACATTCTATAAACCAATTTAAACATTTAAAATAAAAGCAGAATATCATAGGAAAATTTCAAAATATTTAAAGTTTGTTTCAAATCTAAAAACGGTTTCAGGTATACAAAGATATTTCTGAGATCAACTTTGGGCAAAAAAAGATTTACAAGAAAAGGAATGAGCTTCTTGACGTTTGTAAACTATGTAGGAACCGGTCTGCTGAGATTAGTCAGACTTTTTGAGCCTCGGGAACATCTTGTCCAGAACAGCTTCAAGATCTTTGTTGATGTTTGCAGTGTCCATATCTTTACCAAGATCAGCTCTGCAGCTTGGACAACTGTACACTTCGTTCTAAACAATTCGCAGGTTGAATTAATAAACTGAAGAATTAACATAAGTGACAGGTCGAATTATCACAGAGACGAGTCAAATTAACAAATTGACAAGTCTAACTAACAAATTGGCAGGTCGAATTAACAAATTGATAAGTTGAATTAACAATTTGGAGGGGTTAAATTAACAAATTGACAGGTCGAATTAACAAATTGATAAGTTGAATTAACAATTTGGAGGGGTTAAATTAACAAATTGACAGGTCGAATTAACAAATTGATAAGTTGAATTAAAAATTTGGAGGGGTTAAATTAACAAATTGGCAGGTCGAATTAACAAATTGGCAGGTCAGATTTACAAATTGACAGAACTAATTAATGAATTGAAAGGGCAGATTAACGAACTAGCAGGTCGAATTAAGCAACTAACAGATCGGATCTACTAGTAAACATACCCAAGTAGCAGAATGACTTGTTGGGTTAACATTAACAATGTCCCAGGTCAAATAAAAAAATGTCAAGACAGATAAGCAAATTGGCAGGATGAATTAAATGAAAGACAGATCGGATCAACTAAATAATGGGTCAAATTAAGAGAATTAACTATTTTACCTTGAAGCTCGTGACCAGGCAGTCCTGACAGATATTGTGCCCGCAATCCGTAGTAACCTATCGCAATCAATCAATCAATCTATCGTTTAGCTAATCAATCAACCAAACAATCAATCAACCAATCAACCTAGAAACCAGTCAAAATTCCAATTTAATACTTAACTTAATAGTTTAATATTTATATTTATATATTTATAGCTGAAGTTTATAAAATCATAAATAAGGAAGGATAAGGGGGTTCTTTGTGGGTTTGGCATTGGGGAGGGGTTCCACAACTTTTGGGTAGAAGAGCAGAGAAANCTGGTTTGGAAGCTCGTAGCAGATTTGACAGGTCAGGGTCTCTTTCACCTTAATAGTTAAAAATAAAAGAATTAATCTCCTGTTCAACGAAATAACCAACATTTAATTCCCTCCTTTTTTATTTCCAGGGAGGATAATTACTTATCCTCCCTCGCTACGCTCGTGAGGTTTAGAACCCCAAAAAGGTCTTGGAGGCCCTCGGCTAAGTGGTTTCCCCCTTGATTTAATTATCCTCCCTTAATCTCCCGGTTAAGTAGTAATTAATAGTTATAAATTGTTAAGGGAGTGACTGGTTCAGACCAAATAATGTTAAAAGTGTATTATACAAGAGTGAATAATATCTTGAATTCATCAATTAAAAATTATAAATAATCTTTATCGAAGTATCGAATATATGTTTTAACACTTACAAGCTAAAGTTCCATATTCCCTTTTTTATCATCAATAAAAGACCTGGTTGAGTAAATCCGTCCTGCTGAACATCTCCTTCTCTAACACCTGGTCCCACATCTTCTTGTTCCTCGTGTCCGCAGCAATCAAGGTCTTCCACTCATCCGACATATCATACAGCTTTCTCTTCTTTACAACCTCCTAGATATATGTCATAATGCTTTCTCTTCTATACAACCTCCCAGATATATAAAATATAGCTTTCTCTTTTTTACAATCTCCTAGATATACATCATCTCCTCCTTAAAATCTCCTAGATATATATCATACAGCTTTCTTTTCTTTACAACCTCCTAAATATATACCATGCAGCTTTCTCTTCTTTACAACCTCCTAGATATATATTATACAGCTTTCTTTTCTTTACAACCTCCTAGATATACATCATACACCTTTCTCTATTTTACAACCTCCTAGATATACATCATACTGCTTTCTCCTCTTTAAAATCTCCTAGATATATATCATACAGCTTTCTCTTCTTTACAACCTCCTAGATATATATCATACAGCTTTCTTTTCTTTACAACTTCCTATATATATAATATCATACAGATTGCTCTTCTTTACAAACTACTAGATATATAAATTACAGCTTTCTCTTCTTTACAACCTCCTAGATAATCTATAAAATCCAGGTTTCTCTATTTTACAATCTCCTAGATATACATCATACAGCTTTCTCTTCTTTACAACCTTCTAGATATATATTATACTGCTTTCTCTTCTTTACAACCTCCTAGATATATAAAATACAGCTTTCTCTATTTTACAACCGCATAGAATAATATATATCTTAAAGCTTACTACTGTGCGTCCAACTTATTAAAAAATAAATTAAATCTTTTTCGGTCTTGGTGTAAAGATAATGTTCCCTCTGATCTTAAATAAATCTTGATATTCACAAGTACCTCTTCTCCCTCATCGTTAGAGGCCTTCCTCTTCGTTCCTTTCCCCTCCGCTTGTTCCGGATTCTTCTTTATACAGACATATCCTTCCCTCTCTATTATTGCTTTCCCCTCGTCTGTCCAGGGGGCAGGGCTAGGATCATCTCTGAATCATAATTAAGCTAAGTATGGAATATTTGTCCAATAACTTAATAGAAGAGAAAATATTTTTGGCAACAAAGAAAATTGGATTTGAATATTTGAGATTTTCAATAATGTTAAGTAATTGATATTCTAAGGGCTCCAGATGTTAGAAAACCCTTTTACAATTTTTAGTATTGATTGATTGATTATTTGATTGACCATTATCTACCTGATGAACTCGTATCTCCAGACCTTGAAGTTACTTTGTCCCTTGGCTTGCCAGTAGCGCTTAACCTTGTATATTCCATCATACCTAAATAATATAATGATAATACCTCAGGCCGAATTTAAAGAATTTGAGCCGCGATAAATTTAAGCAGCGGCTCAACTTCATTAAATTCGGACACTGACCTTCATACTATCATATTAGGAAAATAAAATCTTAACTCTAAAATGCTTATTTAAGTCACCATACTTCTCGATGAAACCCTACCCTCCTCAGCAAGAAGCTCCCACAATTCTAAATCTATTTTTGTGTAATTCTTTTTCAAGTTAACATTTTTACTTAAAGACTGTCTGTACGGGAGACCGACTGACACCAGTTTCGGCTAGCTCCGTCTCCCGGCCATAAATTGTAAAATATTGTTGTAATTTATAATTATCCATTTTACATGTACTGTTTATGGCCAAATATATAATTTGATTTGAACAACAAACATAATAACACCCGAGGTTAAACTATTATATTTGGATAAAAACAATAATAATATCTGAACTTTATACGAATATAAGAAATAATACCTTTATTTGGAACAAAACAAGGATAAAAATAATACCTGATGTTAATACTAACATATTTGGAACAAAACAAGGATAAAAATAATACCTGATGTTAATACTAACATATTTGGAACAAAACAACGATAAAAATAATACCCGATATAATACTAACATATTTGGAACAAAACAACGATAAATCCAGATATGATGAATATGTAAAAAATTTCTAATCTAGTTTATTTTGTTGGGACAAAAGGAGCCAAAAACAGATTACTTTAAAAGAAAACAGAAAGGCCAAATAAGAAAAAAAAATAATTTATGAAAAAATTTAAAAAAAAACGTCAAAAAAGAAAAAAAAGAAAAAATGTCAAGGAAGAGAAAAAACAAAAACTCTACCAAAAGAAAAAAAATAAATGTCCCTTATTTTTAATCTTGATTCACTGGATATTCGTAATTATTGAATATAATATACTCTGTATATTAATGAGAACAAAACAAGGATAAAAATAATACCTGATGTTAATACTAACATATTTGGAACAAAACAAGGATTATAATAATACCGGACCTTAGTTCCATTAATTTAGGATTAAAACAATAATCAATTCAAGATTATATTTTTTTCTCTAATACATGATTACATCCTCTTAAGACCTTAAAGGGACTGTCATTTAAATTGCATATGGACGTCTTTTAAATAGAGGTTCATTTTAAATTACGTCCACAGTCCCTATAAAGACAGTTAAAATTACCTAAATCCTTCCTCCGGAGCAAAAGTAGAATGTTTCTTGGCCTTGTAAGCTCGTACAACCCTAAAAATGTTGTCTCTGATAAATGGCTTGTCAATTTTATATTTATTCGACCCTTTCTTTATTTATTATTTAATGATTCACAAATCTCAACAATTACTCAATACCAAGAATCAATAATGAACAGTAATACTTAAGGAAGTGTTTAATTATTTAAAATTACTTTATATGTTAACTTGTCTCTCTGAAATGTGACTAGTATCTTCTCTTTACCGTAAACTAGAAAATACGTGACGGAAAATCATCAACTTTGTAATAAAAACAAAACGCTTAGATAGGAACTTTTGCACAGGGTGTCCCAAAAAACATGGGATTTCAGTGACGAATGTGTTATATTCGTCGACATGAATTAGCATTGTAATACCTGATTTCAAAATTCATAATATTATGTCTGCTGGAGGTTATTTTATGAAAACGTTAAATGGCTGTAAAAATGTGTCCATAATGGCTTTGCAACATAAACAGTGAAGACGGACAAGTTTACTCTGTTTGTATACTGTAATTTTCTTATTTTACTAAGTACAACCGTATGCAGTCAAAACATAGACAAACAAATTGTGAATATAGCAGAAGAAAATTTTACGGATTACAGCTATCTCAGTAGGTATCACTAAACTAAATCTAAGAATTATTTGAAAAGACGATATCGAAATCGTCACTGAATTCCCATGTTTATTGGGACACCCTTTATGAGTATTGTTAATCTTACAATATTTGATCTAGATATTCAATGTGAGCACTAATCAATCTAAATTTAATGTTTTATCCCTCAATTAAAGTTATCTCTGTATGAACAGAATGGGATATTGAAGAGGAATTGATATTATTCCTTAGATCTTCATGAAATGATGATTAATGGTCGATCGTGAGATTTGCAACACACAAGATCTAACTTCTTGTAAATTACCTGACAGGTTTTCCCTCCCTCCACCTTTCCCCAGCATCTCCACCTTTAGAAGACACAGGACGAACCTAGGCAGTACAATGCACAATACAGTATAGACCGGTAAGTACAACACGCTTCAGTATTGTACAGTAAACAATACAGTACAATACCGTAAACTACAGTCCAGTTAAAGATCAGTACACACTACAGGCAGTGAAGTACAGTTACAAAATTGTAAAATACCGTCCAGTACAATACAATACAGTACAGTACAGTACAGTACAGTACAGTACAGTACAGTACAGTACAGTACAGTACAGTACAGTACAGTACAGTACAGTACAGTACAGTACAGTACATTATACTTAAATTTCAGTATAATTCAGTGCAGTAAAGAAAAATACAGTACAGTACAGTACAGTACAGTACAGTACAGTACAGTACAGTACAGTAAAATACACTACATGAAGAACTGGAAAATACATTATACTTAAATTTCAGTATAATTCAGTGCAGTAAAGAAAAATACAGTAAAGCACATTAAAGTACAATAAAGTTCAATACAGTAAAAAGTTCACTGCGCACTACATAACACTACTTTAAACAGTAAAATACAGTTCAGTAAAGTTCAGTACAGCTCGGTACAAGTTATCACAAAACTTTTACACTTTTTGTCATAATTTTTTTATCTTTAAAGATAGTCTTACCATGCAACTGTAAGCAATAGCCTCATTGCTCCTGGACAAATAAACCATTTGATAATAGATAGTAAACAGAAATAATACCCGATGTTAATACTAACATATTTGGAACAAAACAAGGATAAAAATAATACCTGATGTTAATACTAACATATTTGGAACAAAACAAGGATCCTGTTCAACGAAATAACCAACATTTAATTCCCTCCATTTAATCATTCTCAGAATCTTTTATTTCTTAATGATTTATTCCTGTCTAAAGCCTGATCTTTGCTCTGCTCTGCAGTTCTCTTGTTTCCTGAGAGATCTCTACCCCCTGATCCTAAATATTAAAAATATTCTCTTGCTTCCTGATAAATCCCTCCTTCCTAAACCTGAATAATAAATACATTTCTCTTCTTTCCTAAGAGATCTCTACCCCTTGATCCTAAATATTAAATATATTCGCTTGTTTCCTGAGATAGATCTCCCCCTGATCCTAAATATTAAATGTATTCTTTTGTTTCCTGAGAGATCTCCCCCTGATCCTAAATATTAAATATATTGTTATTCTTATTGTTGTAATTGTTTAAATTGACTTCCACAATCCACATGAAAAGGGGAATGTCCGATTCACATGATACCTTTTAAAATTTCTACTGTTCAATTACGTAGATTATATTGTCCTTTTAATTTGTTCAATTCTGTGGAAGATATCGTCGTTTTTCTAGCTTTTTAAATGTTAAAATCTGTTATTTTTTTCTAATCGATTCTGAAGAAATTCCCACGCCGCAAACCACAATTGAAATAATTTTTTTTTTAGCTTGATATGGATATTGGATTTCTATTATTTTAGCTTAACATGGATATCGGATATCTATTTTTTTAGCTTAAAATGGATATTGGATATCTAATTTTTCCTGATATTGTTGACCAAGAAAAGTGCAGAATCAACAAGCTAGAATTCAGCCAATAAATCCCACCTGTATAGGTGAATGAATCTCCATTATCTACGTCGTCCTCGTAACCTCCACTTAACACTATGCTCTGGCAACCTCGTTTATCCATCACTCCCTAGAACCAGGCAGAGTTTAGTCCTTCGATCAATAGTTTTGTCAAAATTTTAGTTTATAACTATCATTTTGCAGTACACCTTTTATAGTTTTTTTTTCTTTTGTAAATTTTTCTTTTGAAGTTTATCTTTAATAAGCTTTCCTTAAGTGAGTTTTTCTTTTCAAAGTTTGTCTTTTATGAGATTGTCCTTTATGAGATTGTCCTTTGAGGTTGTCCTTTATGAGGTTGTCCTTTATGAGGTTGTCCTTTTTGAGGTTGTCTTTGAGGTTGTCCTTTATGAGATTGTCCTTTATGAGGTTGTCCTTTATGAGATTGTCTTTTATGAGATTGTCCTTTATGAGATTGTCCTTTGAGGTTGTCCTTTATGAGGTTGTCCTTTATGAGGTTGTCCTTTTTGAGGTTGTCTTTTATGAGGTTGTCCTTTATGAGATTGTCCTTTATGAGGTTGTCCTTTATGAGATTGTCCTTTATGAGATTGTCCTTTATGAGATTGTCCTTTGAGTTTGTCCTTTATGAGGTTGTCCTTTATGAGGTTGTCCTTTATGAGGTTGCCCTTTATGAGGTTGTCTTTTTTGAGGTTGTCTTTTATGAGGTTGTCTTTAAAAATATGATATTTATTCATGAGATTTTATTAATTTGTCTTTTATGAGGATGTCCTTTATGAGGATGTCTTTTAAGAGTTTGTTATTTATGAGATTTTATTAATTTGTCTTTTATGAGATTGTCCTTTATGGGATTGTCCTTTGAAAGTCTATAACATTTTGTGTTTTAAGAGATTGTCTTTTATGAGGCTGTCTTTTATGACGTTGTCTTTTCAGAGATTGAGTTTTAAGAGATTGTCTTTTAAGAGATTGTGTTTTAAGAGATTGTGCCTTTGAAAGTCTATAACATTTTGTGTTTTAAGAGATTGTCTTTTATGAGGCTGTCTTTTATGACGTTGTCTTTTCAGAGATTGAGTTTTAAGAGATTGTGTTTTAAGAGATTGTGTTTTAAGAGATTGTCTTTTAAGAGATTGTCTTTTAAGAGATTGTGTTTTAAGAGATTGTCTTATAAGAGATTGTGTTTTAAGAGATTGTATTTAAGAATGTCTCTTATGAGACATTCTTAAAAGATCCCCAGACCGCCATCCGAAGTAAGGGTCTCAGTCAGGTGCTGATTCCCCTAACAGTTAGATTGTCTTTTAAGAGATTTTCTTTTAAGAGTTTGTCTTCTTGTAATTTGTCTGAAATGTAGCTGGAGTTCTTATCAGGAGTTTGTTTCTCACTGAAATGAACCAAGAAAATAACAAAATCAGAATCCACTAAAGAGCATTGATCTTAAAATGCATGTCAGTAACAATTTTATGGAATGTGTTTTTATTGGTTACATCGCGGACTAACTTATTTAGTAATGTTCAAATTCATTTATTTATCAATATGGAAGAATATTCAAACTTTCAATATTTAGCATACTGCAATAATTATGCAATTAATTATTATTTTAATTATCTGAGCCCACAACGTCCATTAAAGTAGGACATTACTTACCTTAGCGGAGCCTGCTATACCGGCAACAGGAGGCCTGTGTATGCCCTCCTCTGAAACCTAGATATATAGATAGATAGATAGATAGATAGATATACCTTAGATGATCCAGCTATACCAGCTACATGAGGTCGGTGGATACCCTCTTCGGAAACCTAAAGGGAGGGAGGGATATGAACAGACAAATATGCAAATATAGAAAAGATATATAGAAACATAGATGAAATAGATAGACAAATATGCAAATATATATAAAATAGATATATAGAAACATAGATGAAATAGATAGACAAATATGCAAATATAGAACAGATATATAGAAACATAGATGAAATAGATAGACAAATATGCAAATATATATAAAATAGATATATAGAAACATAGATGAAATAGATAGACAAATATGCAAATATAGAACAGATATATAGAAACATAGATGAAATAGACAGACAAATATGCAAATACAGAATAGATATATAGAAACATAGATGAAATAGATAGACAAATATGCAAATATAAAATAGATATATAGAAACATAGATGAAATAGATAGACAAATATGCAAATATAGAATAGATATATAGAAACATAGAAAAAATAGATAGACAAATATGCAAATATAGAATAGATGTATAGAAACATAGATGAAAAAGATAGACAAATATGCAAATATAGAATAAATATATAGAAACATAGATAAAATAGATAGACAAATATGCAAATATAGAATAAATATATAGAAACATAGATAAAATAGATAGACAAATAAGCAAATATAGAATAAATATATAGAAACATAGATAAAATAGATAGACAAATGCAAATATAGAATAAATATATAGAAACATAGATAAAATAGATAGACAAATAATCAGATAAAAGATAAGAGGGAAAATAGTTGTTTTGGATGGGCAATAACTTTTTTTCCAAACTTAATCGTAAAGTTTCGAAAAAACTATGAACAGTTTTACAATTTTGTTTAAATGTGTATATGTGTACACTGTACATTCTTTCACAATGCAAAATGTTAACCCAGAAAGAAGATTTAAACAAAAATAAACCAAGAACGATTGTTTATTGTAATTTCTGATAATGTTGCCTCAAGAACTTGAAAATAAAAAAATAAAAAAGTAAATTGCCTACAGATGTGGAGGGGGAAGGCGGAATACCTGGAGTCTATATTGCCAGCACATTCCAACTTCGATGCCCGGAATGGGTCCAAAATGATCCTGAAATTAATATTTTTAGAATTAACAAAATTTACTTCTTTTCTTTGAAAAGTACACAAAGTGTATGTTTTACAAACTTGTTCGTATTTTTTATTTTGCTGGTTATTTATCATTATCAACATTAAAATATCTAATCCTTTACTTATGAACACTTTTGACAGGCAATACTTTGATAAATTGCCTTAGTTAAAAGAACTCCAGGTCATTGTTGATGTTGGTCAAATCATAAAAAAAGGTCTTTGGAAAGTTTGCTTATTAACATTAGCAATCTTAGGGGGAAATAGATTTACTTTATAAAAAATATACCTTTGGTACGATCGTACATTCCTTGCTTCGACCTTCAGTGGCCAGTCCTAAATATATAATGGGCTTCAAACTTATCAAGGGGGGGGGGATGGAAACAGTCAATATAGTTTGCAAACTTATCAAGGGGGGGGGGGTGGAAACTGTCAATATAGTTTGCAAAGAGATCAGTCGGAGTATGGAGTAAACGGTAGTAGTAGCACAATCGGTAATTTTGATAACAATTGCATCTGTTTAGATAAATAAATACATATTGAATAGATCTGAAAAGAAACCCGACATTGAACCCCCAGACACTTAAGATACTTATTCTTGGTTGTTTTACTAAAACTTAAATTCTAATAAATAATAAAAAAAAATAAAAAAAACTAATAAACTTTGAGGGCTACGTATTTTGCTATTGCGAGATTAAAAAAATGTTTACCTCTGCCCCAATCCCGACTAGTTCCAGTTTTCCTATCCTTGGCTGTCATGGACTTCCCACCAGCACAGACGATATCATTCTCGTTCTTACAGTTTGGGCAGAACCACTCATCTTCATCAGGGATACAAGCCAGACCCAGACATCTAAAATTACAGGAGTCTAATTTTCCAAGAAATACATCATTTCACTTCATCTTCAAATTATAGTTTTGATTTTGAGAAAAATTGATTATCTTAGTTTAATGTTGATATGTGCAACTGCAGAGGTCGATATTTTTTTCTTGAAAAGTAATTTTTCCCCACTAAACCCCCACTAGCTATCTTATTCACTGAATTGGGGAAAATGTAAATTTTTGAATAAAAAGTTTCAGGGGTTAAAAACTTGCCCTTTGTTGTCAGGTTTTTCATTTTTACCCAAAGCATCGAAAATAATCTATTTTATTCTTTAAAATTCATCAAAGTCTTTCAAACACAACTTATTCCTCTCAGTTCATCAATAAAATTATCAATCAATCAATCAATCAATCTATCACATCAATTTTTATTTAATCCGATGATTAATTCTTGAATAAAACCATCAATGTATTCCTAAGTTTGTCCCTTGTTAATGGATAAATCCTTACTGAGTATGGTATCCACTGTTACATTCGTCACACATGATAATATTCGCCTCGTCATGCTTCCCGCCACATTTCCTAAACAAAAAGGAAATATTTAATTCGGTGCTTAGAATCCGGATCCGGGTGTGTTAAATCCGCAACATTTTGGCTCCTAGGGTACAGATCTTAACAACAAAATACCGTCCAAAACCATTTACTTTTTGCTCTCAAAACACATATCTTAACCTATGAGCGTTTAATAAAACTTTATAAATCTCTGAATGTTTCTGCATAAAAATAAGCAAAAATACGGAAAAAACGTGCAATTTATTTATGTATAGGAACCAGTAAAGGTATTGAGTCTTTGTCACAAACTCTGATTTTCTCTTCTCTGTATTTTTGCAACCCAATGTCGTAGACCTTTGACATTTCAAACTATGATCAAATAATACAAGTTTGAAATATCAAAGGTTTACGACATTGGGGTCTAAAGATAGGGGGATTAGAAAATCAGAGTTTGTGGCAAAGACTCAATTCCTTTTAAGGAAATGTGTATGACCTGGATCTTTAACAGATCTAGATCCGAATCATACTGAAATGGATTCTAAGCACTGATTTAATTCTTAGAAAAATTTTCCCTCCTCAGTCATCATTTATTTAAAAGCTTTTTTTTAAAATCGAAAATAGATACTCCTACTTGTGGAAAAATTAAAATATTTATACAAAAAAATGTTAATACACAAGTTTCTTCTTAAAATTTGTTCAGAACATTTTCTATTGTTTATAAAGAAAGGTAGATTATTGCTGGACACGGTGTTGCATGTTTTAAATTCTTCAGCAGCATAATTTTTTTTGCTAATGCATCAATTTTACCTGCATCCACACTGAACACATTTCCTTGCAGGATTTTTCAGACATTTATCACAATCCATCTCAGAGAAATCAGGACCGGGAACCTAAAACAGGGTACAACTTTTAAAAAAAAAATTTGTGAGAAATCACACTAGATTAAAAAAATGTTTATTTTAACTGAAATAAATATTTTATGCATTCAATGTTAATAGCAAGAATAATTTTTTTTGTCAATTATTAAAATTGCCTTTGAATCTTTGCATTTAATAGTACTTAATAGCGAAAATCTGCAACACCTGAACTTGACTTCTACTACAAAACTTTTAGAACTTGATCTATAAAAAAATAGCTGACAGATATGGCTGCGATCTCTCAATGGCTGAGAGAAGATATTTTCAGCTCCCTCTGATTGTTAGAATGTTTTTGTAATTTTACTAACCTTATATATCTCCAGATTTGTGATTATACACTTATCCTGGTCCCGGATGCTGCAGATTATAGTCTTAGATACCTTCTTTATCCCAGCAACCTGGATAGTAGATATACAAGGGTTATCTTAGAATATAGTTCTGAGCTGAAAACTTTAGAATTTTGGATATCGAATTCATTGCTTGATCTTCTCTTTTTGTTAATTTAAATCTTAAGTTTGTATCAACAAGTGTATAAAACTCAACTGATAGAGTGGCATTTGGAGAAACCAAAACAGCCAACCTGAGGCGCCGGGAAATTTGTAATTTTGCGCGCCATTTTATGAGGGAACTCTCATAGGTCGAAAACTGGCAGGGAGAGAAAAATAAAGAAAAAAGCGGATTAGGAAGGAAATTAAAAGTTTTCACATTGGATATTCAGATTAAGCGATGGGAACTGTCCATTGTCCAATTCTAAAGTTTTCAGCTCTGGATATATCAAATTGTTTTAAAACATAATAAAAAAAAATTCTCAGTCCTGAATATCCACAAGTTCTACTCTAATTACTACAATAAATAAATATCACACATTAAACAACATGTTCTGTATAAACCAAACAAAAAAATTCAGAGCAATAAAAATTTTAAACCAAATTTGGAAATTTAGACTTCAATTTCGCAACATTTTTTAAATCGATAATAAACCAAAAAAAGGAAGAAAATATTTAATTCTAATACCTTAGCATCGTACCAGAAGCCTAACTTGTCCGGGTGTTCCATGTTGTAGTTCACAATATAAGTTTCTCCAATCTTTATGTCATTAAAATCGACCTTAACCTAGAAAAATAGTGTTATGAGCAATCACTCAGGGTATCATGAACCAAGATAAAAATAAAAAATAAAAAAATATTAAAGGAACATTTGACAAGAAACAATTGTGCAGTACTTTACAAAAGAACTGTTAAAACAAATGTGATCAAATAAAATTGTTCTAGATTATGCATTTCCAAGAATGTAAAGGTGCAGAATTTCTTCGGGGTGTAATTAGGGCTAAGTTAATCAAACCTCATGTATCCTTTCCTAAAAACCAAACCAAAACCAAGCAGTTAGATTCGAACATGAGTATATTTATATTTACAAGAATTAACCCCCCCCCCCCCCAATTTATGATGCTAATAAAAAAGTTTGAAAAAATTAACATCAAAAGTCTTTAATACCTTTCCCCAAAACTTTTTCCAATTTAGCAAATACAATCCTAGAACAATTTTTTGCTAGGCACCAAAAGGGGGGGGGGTGCTCATGAAAGAAAAAATATACCAGGGTACCCCTGAATTAAAAATACTGAAAATAAACACCCAAGAAATCATGAGTTACCAACCGTTGCTATATCTCTGATCATGGACTCCTCCAAGTCAACCTCCCCTTCGTACTCTGTGTACTTGATGGTGTACACAGTCTTGCTGTTCTCGTCCTTACTCACCTTCAGAACTTGAGCTAGAACAAACAAAACTTTATCTCAGGATCAAATCTGTTTTAACTTGTATGTTTTTGAAGACATAAAGTGCACTTGTGTCCATAGGTTAGTGATAACCATAGAGAATAGAATATATATTAGAGGGGAATTTAAAGAATCTCTCGGTATGAAATTTTTCAGTCCCTTTCAGCCTGAAAGCGAGTGCAAAGTCTACAAATCATGTAAATGTTCACAAATTATATGCAGTAGAGTACATATTAATACAGTATGTCCCTTAGACTATTCATTTCAATTTTGAATTTTTCAAAGCTGTTAAATAAACGTTATAATGAATTAGGTGAATAAAAAACATCATTTGATTTATAGTTATAACGGCAAATCATCGTTTGTAAAGTGAAAGGCATAGAGTCTATGTGAAATGATCATTGGTCAATTATGAAACCAGCCTATTTCATAATTTGGTTTTCTTTTAACATTTATTTTAGATTTTCTATAAAATGATATTCCAGGACCCAAAAGGTTATATAGCATAAATATGTGAAGTACACCTGCAGTTTGGAAACAGTACAACAAAATGGCCGTTTTACACTTTTTTCTAGTAAATTTCCCTCTAATATATATTCTATTCTCTATGGTGATAAGACATTATTAAAATTTTACTTCTTTAGAGTTCTTTTTGCCCCTTTTATGTGACAGTTTTCGATTTTTAATGTTGCCTTTCAATTCTTTAACGGTAAGACTAAACTTTTTGCAAATTCTCCAACTTTTAAATAATTAACATTTTTTCTAGGAATTTTTTTATTTCAACCATCCCTGCCCCCTGCTATCATGGATAATAAATTTGGGGGCCCTATCATAAATAAATAAATCATTCGTAATCTACTCGCTCATAGGAGAGGTCCTCCCAAATTCCTTCTCCGTGAAACGGAGCCGGGAGCAGACATGAGAGCGTTCCCAGGATTGAGAGTAATTAAATACGCGATTCATCCAAGACAAGATAAAGGAATAAAGGAAATAAATAGTGAAACTTCATCTTTTCTCTGCCAGACAACTCCGCTAAAAGAAGGAAAGCAGAAACTCAAAACTCAGGGATAAAGTAGACGCTGATACCGATTTTTTACTTATCCTGCTCTTAAAAATGGAACTGGAACTTAGCCTGCTCTTAAGAATGGATTGCAACGGAAGATCTTATCCAGAGTTGGGTAAAAACAGAATATTTGTACTTCTCATATGCATAATGTGGTGCAACACAATATGAGTTCATCTATTCCACATGAATCGGAAATGACTATAAATCGAGGAACAAGTAGACTTTTTCTTAGCACTGAAAAAATCCTCAATACGCCTCTTCCTAACCCTCTCCAAACTTCCAACTTCTCCAAATTATCCAAACTTCAACGCCAAAAGAATTAGTTAAGGACATCTAAAAAATAAAGAATATGAAAGTACAAAAAATGCATGCTGGTAGGCCTAGATTTGAGATTAGCTCAGAATACAATTGCAGAAACCTTAACCCACCCGGGCCCTTACCCTTCCCATCTAAAAAGCATTTCCTTAAAATATACACCCCTGCGAATACCTAGAAACCAGGCCCCTGTTTTAGAACACAGAGCATCTACAAAGGCTCCGACCTTCCATCCTGACTGCTCGACTACATCAGTATCCTCTAACACTGCAGGAACCTTGAAAACGGATCAATTCAATTTATTACTTAAAAGGATTCTCATCTTGTTGGAAAATGTTGTCTTGATACGAGTCTGATTATGATACTGATGTATGAAAACAGAATTATTCTAATCTTTATTCAGTATCCACTATAAAGTGAAGAGAGTCTTAACTTAACACCCAATCAGAATCCAGGTAAATTTCCATTCAATCAATGAGAGAACATGTATCCAAAATCAAGAGATCAAAAAGATTCTGCGTAAAATTAAGGGCCCACTGTGGATAATGAGATCAAGCAATCGGGATTATTCCCAGTTCTGATTTTTTTATAAGATTATACACATTCATGATTAACTTTTCTACAATATAATTGTAATTTGGGTTATTTTACAAATGAACAATACTTAAGCATAATAGGGGGGGGGGGGGGGCCGTTTGATCCCCCCCCCCCTAATTCTAGCACTCTCAATTTTGATACAGGACAGTGTTAAAATATAAAAAGCATATCATTTTTTTTTCATTTCAACTACATCTCTAATATCAACATTTATGTAAAACCCCTTGGAAAATATATAAACGTTTTGTCTTCCCAAAAACAAAATAATTTTTTTAATTTGTTCAGTGTTTTTTTGCCATTTTTTTAATGTGGGTGAGCAAAACATTGTATGTTCACCTTTTCTTTCTCCTTCTCCTGAGAATTTTCCTTTTTGTCTTGTTCACCAAGAACCTGCCTTGGCATCAGGAGGATCACATCAGAACCTGAGATATAATAGAAAACCTGAAGTAACCGGTATTGCAAAAACCGCTTGACAGAAAACGACCCACTGTTGTAGTATTCTCTTACTACTAAAAATGTGCAATAAATTGACAACTTAAATTAGCAAACTTTGATAAGATCACACTTCAAGTTATTTAACTTGTATAGGATCAATTATCTTTGCAACTTGATAACATTGCACATCGGGTTATCTCCATCACTCGGAGCTAACCCTTATACAATTACTTATCTTTGCAACCTGGCAACATTATACTTCGGGCTATCTCCATCACACGGAGCAAACCTTTATATAATTACTTGCTCGAGCAATAATTAACACCCAAAGTAATAAACATGCTTTCATTAGTGTTGTTACATTTATTTACATATTCATAAATGCATACATGCTATAATATGGAGATAACTAGATGGTTTAATGATCAGCCATGGTTCCTTTACAACTTAGGTTCCATTAGTAGCTCTCTCAGTTAGTTTATCCAATCTGAAGTGCAGAACTACTATATTTGCCAATCCATCCATCATGTATTTATCATCTCTATTCCCGGTATGCTGGTCAGCCCGCTCCTGTGATCTGTGGAGCAACTTCCCAACCTGGACATAAATCCTGGAGCAAACCTCCTCCCTGCTAGCTTCGGGATAAAGGCTAGACTCCCGTTCCCAGGCCTTCCTTGCGTCCCATGCATTGACGTTGGGATCTACAAGGGGCTCTTGGGTGCTTGTGTCCTCCAGAGTAGAGGATACCATACTCTCAAGCTCCTGGTTCAGCTCTGCTAACCTATCCATCACCTCCTTCATGGTTCGCACCAGGACATCAGTATCCTCATCCATATCTTCGTCCTCAACTGTGTCCTCAGCTACGTCTCCGACCTCTGAGGCTGGGGCAGTGACAATGGAAGCATTCCCACTGACAAGAGGAGCAAGATCTATAGGATCCACTTCATCTTCTTTTAAGCAGCTCGTCCAGTCAGGTTCCCTCTGTATGCTGTATGTTCGCTTTATGTTGTACAAATCCCGGAACGATAGTGGCAGACTGACGTGTATAGTTACGTGTCTACTCTTCTAAGGTTCGGGTTGTACTGATCCTCTGGCATCCGTTTGTATTCAAGGGACTGTTCATTCTTATTAAGAACAATCTAGGATACAACACTGTGTCGCTACAATTAATCTGATCAAAAAATTTAAATTTTTTAACCCAAAAAATAAGTTTCCCCAGGCACAATTAGTTGCCTTCATCTCATAATATTTTATTCGATCAATTGACATATTAACCCTAAGTGTTAAATTTGATGGTGATGATGATACAAACCTCACCAAGTCAATTAGATACACATTTTTTGAAAATATACATATTTCCGTTACAGGGTTAAACCTGTTCTATTCTTGAGATTCTTTTCTGTCATGAAGATTCAAAAATATTGTTTATAGGAAAGTATATATCTAAAAGAAATTGAAGAATTTCAAGAAACTCTTAATTTATATAATGCTGTCGGCCCGCAATATAATGCTCAGTACTAACGGTGTGTTCAGAATAACTGAAGGTACCTCAAATTTTTAAGCCAGGATTAGACATTCTTTATTTTCACATTTTTATCAAATAAAATGGAATGAGGCCCTGTTCATATTTCAATTTAAATTTTAAATTCAGATTCTAATTGTACTCACTTGAAGAAAAGTCTCTGAAGAGTCGGCTCCACTTCAAACTTTTCATGGATAATTTTCCTTAAAATTCAATTAAAATTATAATTATAATTAAAACTTTAATTATAAATGTTAAAAATGTATTGCTGCATTAAATAATCGGGGACTTTATAATAAGATCTGTCAGGGTATATTTTATAGAAGAAAAAAAATATGTTTTTGTGAATTTGACTGAAAAGGGGAACATAACATACTCCCTGAAGAAAAAGATTTCAGTTAAGAGGTATCAGAAAGCTGGTCTAATTTTACAGTTTTCTACTGTCTCCCACCCCCTCACGAGGGGGATTTCTACAAAATAGAGTATCCCTTTTAAAGGGAGTGTTCGCGAAAAATGAAAGGGGGTACAGGCTTAATGCGATAAAAAAGCGCTTTTGATCGGTATTAATCTTACTTCTATCTGTTGCGTCTATAAGGAGAAAATTGTTAAAAAAGACTAATACCGAAGAACGAGTCCAAATAAATTCAGAAAGATGCAACATACGACTTAGACCGTAAAAATCTATTTAATTTCAAACAAATCATTCGGATATTACAACCGATTACAATCGATTATCTTTCGCCACATTTGTTTATAGTTGATTTTTCATAATATGTTTTAATTGTTATGATCTGAGAGTTGCTTATAAAAACATTTATTCCTATTTCGAGGATTTTTGGTAATGAAGACGACATTTTAATATTTTCCAGGAATGTTCGAAAACAAGTTGTAAGCAAAATATCATTTTAAAAAATAAAATCAAAACATGTTATGAAAAATCTACTATATACAAATGTTGCATCGTTCTGAATTTATATGGATGTAACAAATCTAGACGCGATTACTCTACTCAAAGTCTAAAGAGAACACACTTATCTCTATCTCTAGCCAAAACTCAAGGCTCTCTATTCTCAGCCAAACTCTAGGCTCTATATACGTATGTATAAATCAAAGAATTCTATTGAACTAAATTTATTTATATACAGGTGAATGAACTGATTGGGCTATCCCGGCAGGGTCAACATATAGATAATTAAGATATTTATATTACTAGAGAACATAGATAACGTAGATAGCATTATACTTGATACAGAATGTGTTACATGGACACTACGTTCTTCAGTATTAGTCGTTTTTAACAATTTTCTCCTTATAAACGCACCAGCTAGACGTAAAATTAGTAGCGATCAAAAACGCTTTTTTATCGCATTAGGCCTATACCCTCTTTCATTTTTCGCGAAAACTCCCTTTTTAAATAATAAGGTAGAAATCAGAAAATGAAAGTAAGGTAGAAATTAAAAAACTAATCATGAGGTAAAGATATCAGAATTATATATTCATGGACATTCCCCAACCTGAGGGATTTGATTTGAAGTAGCTTAGATTCATTAATGGTAACTTCAGTCCCAGTCAAACTGTTTCTGATTCTACAACTCATCTTAACAGCTGTACATATGTTAAGTCTGAAATAAATAACCCGTGACGTTAGTGCATTACTTAAATGAAGCCAATTTTTAAGACGTAGTTTACGTTTTAAAAGAATAAAGATTTTCAGACTCTGGATATAAGATTTTATAAAATAAGTTTTCTGGCCTGTCCTAGAGAACAATTTTTGGACACCCCCCCGCCCCCCTCTTCTATCATTTATGTACATGATCACTAATTTCCAGAAAAATTACTTAATATATATTTTAAATTAGATTAGGTTAAGACAATTTCTAGGCCGAGCGCAGCAGCTAGGACAGACTTAGGGTGCCAAGCGATGCGGCAAGGACAGACTGTGGGGCCGAGCGCTGCGGCTAGGACAGGGTAAGGGTCCGGGCGGTGTGGCCACATGAAAAAATACGTTTATCTTATAAAGTGTAAACACATGATCACCGTAAATGTTAAAACACCAGTTTAAACTTTTCCAAGTTGACTCTGACGCCCGTTCGACGGCTGACTTCATAAGCAATGGCAATTTATTAACGTCTATTTCTATATACCTCAAAAGGCGAGCATCTTAAATATATAAGCAATGGCAATTACAATGAATTTGATAAATGGTCGGATCGAATTGAGACATCACATTCCACAGATTTCATATCAATGATCAGTCTCGCCGAAATCTCAAATCAGCTGATCGATGAATGTTTACAATTATTTCGCGGTTTTTTTACAAACTCATTTAAAAATCATTCGTGTAACTCGTGTAACAAAACATTTTTTTATTGAAAAATAAACGCAAATCTTTAATGTTTGATGCAATTGCTTAGATCTCAGATTTGCAGATATGTATTTCAGTTACGCATGATCTAGGTTTTTGATGAATTTCTTCTTGCAAACAATTAAAAGTAGAGGAGGTTGCGTGGTTTAAGGTAAGTGAAGACGAGAATTTGAGGAACAGGGATAAACTATTTTTGCAATTATAATCTTTAAAAATTCCGAAATAATTCTTGGTAATTATTTGAATGTAAATATTACAAAATTTGTGATGAAATCAAAGTGTATTTTCCCCGGGCCCTGTCCCATGTGTACTGTGCTTTCTATCTTTCCTTTCGTGAAAACAAACCCAAAATAACCTTGAAAAAGGTAAACATTACACCTGGAACTCCTGGGACACTATTTTAAGCTTATTTTACCCTAGTGTTACTCTTAAATTAGTAAAATATGAGTTTGAATAGTGTAAATTTATTCTTGTTTTTTTTTTTACTGCAGAAATAAAAAATTTTCATCTTAACTTAAGTTTCAAAAATAATTTTTCATTACTTAAAAATTCTCTGTCAATTATCCAAATTATCTTTCTCTGCAACTGTTAATACTGTTACCCACTGTGCAATACGTGCAATATGTGCACACAATTAAAATTTTCATGTAAACGAATCTTACACATATTATTTATTCTATTAATGAATGTATTGTACTACGTGTAAAACTCGTACAACATATGTAGAATTAAAAATTATTTTTTGTTATAAAATTGAAGGTAAAAGATGTCTTCCAAGATAATTAAGAAAACTCTGGAAGAAGCCGCTCATATTGGTAAGATATTAATTTCGAGGTCAAGAAGAATAAAAATGCATAAAAGTAAAAGGGGCAGTGATATATAATTNCCGGGAGAGGAAATATTTGTGACGATCCGGGGCATAAAAAAATTGGACGTCAAATGGCTAGTTTTTCATCCTTTTTCAAACTTTATACAGTCAAATTTAATTATTGTTTCCTGAATAAAATAATGTTCAAAAACGGGGTAGGAGTGCTGGTGATTTCCTAGAGAATAAAATTAATAGGATGGGGGGTCAATAAATTTTACATAAGGATGGACCCGAGGGTACATTAATATACCTTCTACTGTACAAAATACACGTGTACACACCAAATATTGTGTAGAAAATATATTTTACCGTACAGTGTAAGTATTTTGTACAATATTCTGTACTTGGATAGATCATGCTGAGCTGGATTTCTCTGACAAGTCTCTGATCTCCTTGGAGCCAGATATGTCAAGATTATGGAGTATGAAGAATATTACAAGGTAAACATTTTTAGATATCCTCCCCCCCCCCTCCATCACATTTTACCCATTTTTTACTCTCTAGTCTGCATTTAATGTAATTATGGGTTTTAAGCCCCCTTACCCCGACCCTATTGTTTATATCACTTAAAGCATGAGCATACCCCCCCCCCTCCATCACATTTTACCCATTTTTTACTCTCTAGTCTGCATTTAATGTAATTATGGGTTTTAAGCCCCCTTACCCTGAGGCTCACATCTCATTATCTCATGCGGGTGCTGACGGGTCGGGTTACTCGTTTTTTTAAAAGCCACTTATAAGAAAAATGAGGCTCTTTGTTTTAAATAAATGCTCAGTTAGAAATTTTAAATAAGTAAGAAATTTGATTTTGGAGCTAAAAGTCACTTAAGGCAAAGTTTTACAAGCTATGGGAAAAATAATTCCAACGTTTTTTTCTTGCATCTCATATTGATTACAATTAATCTACAAAATAATCCATATCCTAATCAATTTTTAACAAGTTGAGAACTCTGTATTTGCTGCTTGACAATTTTGATATTTTTGTAAGTAATGAAACTGAGTTCTTGCCTCTAACTCTGTTTTTAGTCTCTATATCTTTGCAACGAAATGTAATACATTTTTGATATTTCATACCATGAATTCTGTTAAATCCAATATTCTAATTTGTAAATATCTAAGGTTTACACCACCAGGATGCAAATTTATGCAGGGATCTGACAATTAAAACTTGTGTTAAAAACTGTATCACTTAAAAGTTATCTTTCACAAAAAAAAATTCTAGTTACTTACCTACTTGATACTTGAGAGGTAATTCTCCATCTTATCTAGGAATGTTGAGAATATCTTGATTTCTTCATGGTCTGCTATAGATCAGATGTAGATTCAGTTACATGCAATCCTAAATGCTTAGTATTAATTGACGAATCAGTCTTGAACACTGAGATTAGTTTTAAAGAGAAAATTTTAAAGAAGAAATATATCTGTTAATTTTAGGTTGACTCTGTCGAACAACAAGATCATGACTCTTCCTGCTGCTGTAGCAAACCTAGGTTCACATTTTGTTAAAAATCCTCTAACTAAAATTATTTTAGTTGATAATTTTTGCAAAAATATTATATCTCAAAAAAGAGTTCTTTTAATATAAAATAGATTTTTGAAATCTTTAAATGTAAGGAAAGGCTTCTTCATTCCCTTTTGGGTTAACCGTTAACCATGAAGGAAACGGAAGGAGTTGCAAGGTCGTAAAGATGAACCATTAACTTAACAAATCTCGTTTGAAAACATTTATCTTGTTTATACAACAGGTCTTATAATTAGATGAGTCTTTGATCATTTAATGGCTTATTAATCTATTTTACTGATTTGCAACAGATGCTTTGTTTATATAAGTCCTCGTAAGTTTTAAAAAAAGACCTTATTGCTGTATTGTAGAGAACCTGGAGATCCTGAACCTATTCAACAACTGTCTAGAGGAACTACCCATCTCTATCTCCGGGATGCCCAAACTCAGGCACAGATCAATTAATTGATTGATGGACGGTCGGATAGAATTATAATTTGATGTTCAATGGAGTCTAAAGGAAATTATGCATGGTTGTTTTTTGTCTCATTGATTTTACCACCCTACATCTCTAACCTTATTAAAAAAATTATTCATATCTAAAGGAGCTTTGTGATAACAGCTCTAAAATATCAAAGCTGTCCTTCTGCAGTGCAGTAGTTTTACATGTGTTCAATGTACTAATGTTTTGTTAATAACTTGTTATTAACTATTATTGTACGGCTGATTTAGAAAGTGCGGGATATTCTTTTTTTTTTACGGGAGGACAAATATCTAATGGTTTATATTCAAGGGAGATTTAAGTTCAAAAATGCCTCGCCCACGTAATATAAACCATTAGTTACTTGTCCCAAAGAGAAAAAATAATATCCAGCACTTTCTAAATCAGCCGTACATTGGTAATTTTATGTCACAATTGCGATAACATAGCATCTATTTGGGATGTGTTGAGAATAAATTTTTAATTTTTAATGAAAAAAAAATTTTCTTTAGAGAACGCAAAATTCACAAAACTTGTCAAGAAAATGCGCAAATCTGTTTTCAAACTAAAAATTCAGAAATTTATTAGCTTAAATACTCTTCTTTTGAAAATAAGTAAAATATTTTTAGTCTGCGTTCCTTTGTTTAGGCCAAAATAACAATATTTTCTTATATGCATGGAATTAAAGACGATCTTATTTTTCTAAATAATCCCTAGGGATTAATTTAGAAAAAAAAGACGGTGAAAGTTAGAAATTGTACATGAAAAAATTAGCTATGTTAAGTTAGACAAAGAGACATTAAATCAATTTTGTTATTGATCGTTTTTTAATTGACTGGTAGATTAGTCAGTCTATGAATTGACGTATTTATTGCTGGATTGATTGATTCATTGACTCATTGTTAACTGATTGTAATGAATTGATTTTATTAGAATCCTGAACCTGGGAATGAACAAGTTAAATGCACTGCCCAGGTATTAAAGAGGAGAAGTTGATATATTTTGCCTCATAATTTGTTTCCCCTACTTTGCCAGAAATGTTAAGGTGTTTAATTTCTGATTTTGATAAAATAAATTGAAATAAATCATATTGAAGGGAATTTTGGCTTGAAAGTTTCAGAGTTCGGAAATAATATCTTACATTTCAAACGTTTTATAAATCTATGCAGACCAGATATTTTAATGAATACAGATTCGTAGAAATCTGTACGCAGTATTTTTTTTATATTGTATTTCAGAATTGGTTAAAATGATGTTTTATTGTTCCAAAATATTAAATTCTTGTATATTTGGGATTTTTTTCAGAGGTTTCGGATCCTTCTCTAGTATTGAGATCCTAGATCTTTCCTACAACAATCTGAACGAGAAATCCCTTCCTTCAAACTTCTTCATCATGGAAACCATCCGCGCCTTGTATCTTAGGTAATTTATTTCCCCTTCCTTTCCCTTCCCAACACATCATCATCCCTCCCTCATTCCTCATCTCTTTCCTCCCCCTCTCATCCCATACCCTCCCCTTCCCCAACTGCTCATAGGTATCCTGAAAACATTTATTCTGTTTAGTGACAATAATTTTGAAGAATTGAGTCCTGAAATTAGAAACCTCAAAAACCTGAGGATTTTGGCAGTTCGTGACAATGATCTTGTAGACCTACCTACGGTAAGAGAAGAGGGCAGTGTTGTACTTTTCTAAAAATATTTATTACTTATATATATATAACAATATTTTATTATGTTTTGGTTTTTGACGTTTTTTAAAATGTGAAATGTTTAAATATTTTGAAAACAACATAAATTTTTGCGATAACATGAAGAAAGGTCAAGTTAAACTTTCATAAATTATTACTATTCTTGAATTTTGATAAATTATAAAAAAGGAAAAAATTTCGATTTATTTTAATAGTCTTCTTATTACCTAAAATATTTTGTTTCAGGAGATCGGAGAACTGATTTATCTTCGTGAACTACATCTTCAGGGAAACCGTCTAACTGTTCTTCCTCCAACCCTTGGATCTCTAGGTATATCCCCCTTCCTTCCTCCACCCCTTGAATCTCTAGGTATATGTCCCCCCCCTCTTTCCTCCAACCCTTGGATCTCTAGGTATATCTCCCCTTCCTTCCTCCACCCCATGGATCTCTAGGTATATCTCCCCCCCATACCCCTCCTTGCTCCAACCCTTGGATCTGTATGAATGCTTTTCAAGCAAGTTTTTAAATCGCTTATTAAGTGAAATGAGTCTGTTTATTCTCCACAATTTCTGTACCTCATGCTCAGTGGACTATTAAAAGTTATAACTTGAATGTAAAAGTTGACTTTCTATTCCAGATTTTTCTGGTTATCACTGTATCTAAATTAGATTTTCTGAGTTCCCGATCTATTCTGAAACTTGATAACAACCCCTGGGTTCCACCAATCGAAGACCAGCTTATGCTTGGTGTATCTCATGTTATTGAGTACATTAGAACAGGTAAACATATTTACATATAGTTCAGTACAGTACAATAAAGGTTTTGGAGAACATAAGAACAGGTAAACAGTACATATATACAATAAAGATTTGGAAACATGTAAACAGTAAATTAGAGGTTTGGAGTACATTAGAACAGGTAAACAGTGCATATATACAGTGCAGTACAGTACATAAAGTGCAAGTGCAGTACCGTACAATAAATTAGGCCACAATTTTTAAACATACATGTTAATAAAATAACCGACATAAATGTATATTTTTCATTGCATGTGGCCGGGGAGCTATAAGATACCACAGACCACTTGGCTCTCCTGGTTCAGCAAAATATGATATGATTAATATTTTGTGCATGAATGGAGCACATAAGTAAAGTAGTAAATCTTTGTTTGTCTATTTGTATGGATGTCCGATCATAACTCTGGAACCCTTAGACAGCCTTGCCTCGAACTTTCATTAGCTTGGTTTAAAAATTCTAAGTCAAGTGGATTGAAATTAATTTAATATCCAAGCAAAGCAGGGTTCTCAAGCCAAGTGACAAAATAAGATATTTTTTTGTCCATAAAGATTAAAAAATTTTAAAATAATTGGTATTTTAAAAAAGTTTTGTTTCAGAGACCTACAAGTATCTGTACAGTCGGCATATGCAGGCAAATGTTCCTCCTCCAGAGAAAAAGAAGGACAAGGCAAGACAACTCTCAAGAAAAGGTTCCAGGGCTTCCGTTAATGGAAACAATTGAAAACAAGGCTTCCGTTAAAGAATTATTTCCTAATTTTCAAGTTTAAAACAAATAATTAAAACTAACCTTTACTGCAGAAATAGTGCCAAAATTCTAAGAAGAACCTAATAAAATAGGAGCCTTCTACCTCTTGTTTGCTAATTTAAAATAGATGTTTAATATTTTTGCTTTACAAAAATATGTTTATGATATTTGTTGAACCCTTTAAATATTTCAATGTTGATGAGGATATTTTCGTTTGCGGTTTTCCAATGAAGGAATTCGCAGTTTTTAAAAATATAGATAATTGTGTAAAGGGTACTGAATAGTTCTAGAACTTCATTGACATCATTGACAACCCATAAACAAATTAACCTACTGGGCTACAGTGCCCTATTTTGAAGATTATTTTGTTTTTAAATTGACCATCAACAACTTCTATCTACTATAAAAATATTTAAAAAATTTACAAAGTGAATTTATTAACAATAACCTGCACTAACACTAGTCCAGTTCGTCCAATGGTGCCTGAAATTTATATAATTGTCAAAATAAATGTGTATTATTTAATATTAAGTTTAACTAAATAAATATGAACTAAATTTATATTAAATCGTATTTTTGACACTCCAATCTATATATAAATTTGGCTTGTCTGTCTGTCTGTCTGTTTGTCTGTCTGTCTGTTTGTATCCAATAAACGTCAAAACGGCTGAACCGATCGGGCCCAAATTTTTTGTGGGACCTCACGTGACCACAGGGAATGATCAAAATTACAAATATTTGTGTCCATCAAAATTCGATCTTCATTAAATTTTTGAAAATTTTGAAAATCCACGAAATTTTTTGTGAAAATCCGCGAATTATTTTTGTTTTGTTTTACGATGTACACAAAGAGAAATCATGTTCACAATTAATTTAGAAGATGGCCGCGAAGCGCCCTCTAAGGCTAGTATAGAAAAAAGGAACAACACCAAATAGATGCGGAATTTTTGGGGCGACTATGCAGTTTGCATCCTCAATCCGCATGAGTGAGAAAAGCAAACTTGTTTACTTGCATAAAATTAAGAACTTTAAATGTTTTTTTCAATCAAAGCATTTATAGAAACATAGTTGTTAAAAATTATCCAGATTCCATGTTAAAATCTTAATTTCAATCAATGTGTAAAAAATAAATTGCAGAGAAATTATAAAAATAATGATTTTAAGTAATACCCGATTTACCCTTGAAACCTTAATCTGATAAAAATGTGGAGATAGCGTCTTTTCCGACTCAAAAAGTGTTACATCCAGATAATTTCTTCAATATTTCCTTTAAGCAAGAAATGTGCAAATCATTTTTTTCAGAGAAATGACAAATCAAAATAGTTTTGAAAACAAGAACACGGAGGTTTAATACAGAGCGTCCATATCATAATAAATTATCTCCAGGTTGTAACGCCAAAATGAACCCAGAATACTCAAAAAAACTTAGCATTTTCTACAAAAAAATGCTTGTATTAGCCTTATCCTTTTTTAATAATCTATTATTTTTAATTCTTAATTTTATAAATTGGATTCAGTTAAAACAGAAAATTTGATTTGCTCCACCTTCTTGTTTTTAACTTATTAATTTTTTCTTTACCTTCTGTTAACTGCATGTCCCTGATTCTGATAATTTTGAAGAAAAAACAGAGACCCCCGTGCAAAGATGCCAATGCCTAATTTACAACGGTACCCTTATATCTATTTATGTCATTGTAATGGGTATTATTAATTGCGAAAAAGATTTTTTTTGATTGAAAACAAACTAGAAAACTTAAAAATCACAGCAAAAACTTTTCCCACGCATAACCAATTTCAATTCTTTCAATAACATAGTTTTATTCAGAATTTTACTCAAACTAGTAAAAAACAGATCGATAAAGTTCCTTAATCACCCTGTTGTAGAATCAATGTTTATAATTTTGAAATAAAGTATGTATTCCCTGTTCATTGTGTATATATTTTCATGAAATAACTTCTTTTTGACTGATTAAGTCCNGCTACGACACTCTAGCCCTCTCCTCCCTGTGTACGCTTCTGATTTTAATATTTTAAAATTAACTAATAGTTCGGATACCACATAGGTCCGCGTACATAGCATCGAAGAATTTTGTTCACAAGAAATGTCGTCTTCTCCGGAGAGTACATTCATCAGCTGTTTTATTTTGCAGAAATGCAGACCTTTACAAAAACATGCGCAGGCTGCTGGATAATTATTTCTGCAATCTGCAAGCTGCTAAAATTTAACAATATGTCAACAGCTTAAAACAACGTAATAGTTTTTTGTTTTAACACTTATCTTTCAGCTGCATTGAAATTATTGTTTCATTAGTTAATAAATTGGAGTGCAGGCAGTGATGAGTTTTTAACCTTTTATCAATGTTTATTTTGTATTATATCACGGTTAGGTTCAGGGTAGTATATCTATCCAATTTTGTACATGACCATTTATTTTTCAGCAAATTTATTATTATTTATTTTTTTGTTATTTAGGGTTAGGTTAGGTTAAGATACTTTCTGGGCCATAATTGAAAATTGTTGAAATAGTGGTCATGCACAAAATTGATAGGAGGGGGGGGCAGGGGGGGGGTCCAAAAATTGTTATCTAGGTTGGACCCACGATGCGCAGGAATAAACTGCTTAAACTTATAGACAGTTCAATGTCAAACAAGATTTTTCAAATTTTTTAATGATCATCATTTTTTTGGAGAGAAAACTTTTCAGTTAGTCCTAGAGAACGATTTTTGGTCTTAACCACCACCCCCGCCCCCTCCTATCAATTGTGTACAAGACTTTTAATTTTCAGCAAATTTATTATTTTTTTTATTATTATTCGAGGGTTAGGTTAGGTTAAAGCAATTTCTGGGGCCGAGCACTGCGGTGAAGACAGGCTAGGGGGCCGAGCGCCGTGGCTAGGTCAGGCTAGGGGGCCGGGCGCTGCGGCCTCATGACCAAATAAATATCCATGTGTGTTACATATGAGATCTATGTACAAAATTGATAGGAGGGGCGGAGGGGGGGTCCAATAATCGTTCTCCAGAAATCTCATATGCAAGTGTTTTGCCTCAAGCTATTCTGTTACCTTGCACAATACATGACCGAAAAAAACTACAGGACTTTCAGAATTTAAGAAAATCTCAATGGGGACCTGGTTTTTACCTTTTTTAGTGCACCAAAACCCTCCATTGCACAACCAAAATACAAAAATGTTCTCCGTAAAGGACGCTTTGCCCCGGTTTTATGCATCCGGCACCCCCTAATACCCCCCCCCCCCCCGTCTCAGCAAATTTCCTTGAAGTTTGTGCGGGCTTCGTCACCCTCTTAAAAAATCCTGTTGTTTTGGTAAGTGGGTACAAAATGTGGCAAGATTTGTGTTTTGTCCGTCCTCAATGTGAATGATTCCTAAAAGAAGAGTTCTTGGATCAAGAATAAATCTTGGAAATCAACTCTCAACGCTTTTAAATTCTTAAACTCTAAAGTTTACACATCTCTTTATAAATAGATTTAAAATGTTCTGTAATTAAAAAATGAACTCTGAAAATTACACAGGTGAGTCCCTGAATAAAGTGCAACCCCCCCCCCCACATATTTATCACACTTACAACTGAAAAATGTATGAGAAATGTGAAAGTTTAAGATTAACCAAAAATGCATATCCTTGAAGTATTTTCTATATAAATTCCTTTTCCTAAAAATACCCCAACCCCTCTGGTTTTAATCATCATTGCATTATACCCTTTAGTTAAAACTTTTATTTTCAAAAATCATACCATTGTCTAGGTTTCTTGTTTACATTCGCCTTGAATTTAAAAGTGAAGAAGTTGGAATACCCTGGAAACTGTGGTTAATACTGTATACTGCACTGTACTGTACTGATTTAAACTGTAGAGTACAGCTGTGCCTTCAGATGTAAATATAGTTCCCTTGATACAAACAAAATAGAGTACTCTCTTCTCTCCCGATAAACAGGTAGAAATTAAGTTTAAAGAGCGCGAACATAAATTTTGTGATGGGGTTAAAGTCGACGACGCAATTAGTGTTGTTAATCGTTTGGGATCGGTTTTTTAAACTTTTGATTAAACTTTAAAGATTTCAAAACTGTCGGTAAGTTAAGGTTTTATTTCATCGAATTTTTTTCATCCTTTTAAAATTGTTAAACGATCTAAAAACGATCATTACAGCATATTCGTTTTTGGATCGTTTTTCGGTCGTTATTGGTTTGTTTTTTGCCTTTATTTTATGGATGGTCAAATTTGGCATATTTTCATAAAGCACATGTTCAGAATAAACATTTTTAAATCGACTGTGTTTCTTGCACTGTACCAATCATTTATTTTTCTTTCGTGATTTTTGTTAGTTAATGTCATTCTTGAATGTTTATTGTAAATGGTCAAAATTTCGTTATTTTGAATTTTTTTAAGAATTTTCAATTTATTTAGCTTTTGATTCGTTGGCCTGAATCCTTTTTACTCCAACTTCTAAGGTCCACTGATGACGCAACTTAAAAAATAACTTTGATAGTCCCTCTAAAATTCTTCTTCTTTTCTCCTAGAACCCTCTGATGGCGGGATTAGACTCCTGCCGACGAAGTGTAGATATCAAACCATATGTTTGCGGGTAAGCTCTCGTAAGAAAGGGTTCGCGGATTTTTTAAGTGTGCTTAAAGAGACTTTTCAAGTCATATCCTCCATGCAACAATTTCAATACACATAGTACTCTTGAAACCTTTATCTGATCAAAAATTTTGAAGATATTTTCGATTTTCTAGGTATAAATGTGATTAAATCAGATAACCTCAACTTGTTTTTCTGCAGTAGAAATGCGCAAATCACTTTTGTAGAAAACCACAATTGGAAATAATCAGCTTTCAAAATTATAAACATTGAAATCTTATTTATACCTCACCAGAAATACCTTTTATGGGTACCTTTGTGAATCTTTGCATGGAGGGTGACTTTAAATTACCCTCACAGTCCCTTTTAGCATAAAGACGAAATTGATCCAAAATTAACTCTGTGAAAGGGATCTGTCAGATATTTGAATAATGTCGGAGGGGTGCTAATAATTAAACGGAGTCCTTTTTTTACCTATCTCTATTCTCAAATCTCATGTACAATGTACTTAACCTGTTTCTTGCAAGAAATTAGTTCATTAGTTCTTGTTTAATATTTTTTAAATTATCCCTCCTTGAGTCCTTGACGAGTCAGAATGAAACAGGAATAAGCGCATTTTGTACAAAAAACGTTATCTTTTTTAGATGAAATATTTCAGGGGGAGAGGGAATTTAAGGTTGGTTATTTCGTTGAACAGGAACAGGAGATTAAACGATAAATTACTACTTAACCGGGAGTTTTCATGAGGATAATTAAATTGAGAGGAAAACCTCCCTCGCTACGCTCGTGAGGTTTAGAACCCCAAAAAGGTCTTGGAGGCCCTCGGCTAAGTGGTTTTCCCCTCAATTTAATTATCCTCCCTTAATCTCCCGGTTAAGTAGTAATTAATAGTTATAGTTGACAGGCTGAAAAATTCATTGGTAACACGCTTATTAATTGATTAGTTGACAGGCTGAATAATTAATTTAGTTGCAAGCTGACAAATTGATTAGCTGACAAGCTGATTAATTGACTGGTAACAAGCTTATACATTGATTAGTTGACAGGCTGAATAAGTGAATAGTTGACAGGCTGATTAATTAATTAGTAGATTAGCTGATTAATTGATTTTGTTACAGACTCATAAATTAATTTAGTTACAGGCTGATAAATTAATTTAGTTACAAGCTGATTAATTGTTTAGTTGACAGCCTGAATAATTGATTGGTAACAAGCTTATTAATTGATGAGTTGAGAGGCTGACTAATTAATTTAGTCATTAGCTGGTTAATTAATTTGTTGGTTAATTGATTTGTTGACAGGCTAATTGATTGATTGGTAACAAGCTTATTAATTGATAATTTGACAGGTTGAATAATTGATTAGTTGATAGGCTGATTGATTGATTAGTTGATTAGCCGATTAATTAATTTATTTACAGGCTGACTAATTAATTTAGATACTAGCTGATTAACTGATTAGTTGAAAGGCCGAATAATTGATTAGTTGACAGGCTGATTAATTGATTACTTGAGAGGCAAAAAAATTGATCAGTTGACAGGCTAAATAATTGATCAGTTGACAGACTGATTGAAAAGCTGCTTTAATGGTTGGCATTCTGATTAATTGATAGGTTGATTGAAAGGTTGATTGATATGCTGTTTAAATAACAGTGAATACATCAAGATAAGAAAATAATTTGTGGTGGGAAAGTTTTTAAATCGTAATACTCAAATCTTCGAAATTTAATTATTTTATTTTTTATGTAATTTTTTTCTCAACTTTTTTCTTATTTGAGTTATTTATTGTGATCAGGATCGGAATGTTCACTATAAAGGAACTCTAGATGCATTGAAGAGTGTAATTAGGGAGGATGGAGTTCAGAGGTTGTATAAAGGACTTAGTCCTGCTCTTCTCAGACAGGTAAACTCATCTGCATCCTAAAGAAATTGTCGTGTATTCGGTCAACTCATTCCTAATCACTTTCCCTGTATCTAACGGTATCTATGTGTAGGTGGTATTTGTAACCATAACGTTTGGTCCATACTACTCCATGTACCCTAGTAAACTGTATCGATGTGTAGGGAGTATATGGAACTATAAAGTTTGGTATATACTACTCCATGTACCCTAGTAAACTGTATCTATGTGTAGGTGGTATTTGTAACCATAACGTTTGGTCCATACTACTCCATGTACCCTATGTGTAGGGAGTATATGGAACTATAAAGTTTGGTCTATACTACTCCATGTACCCTAGTAAACTGTATCTATGTGTAGGGAGTATATGGAACTACGTTTGGTCCATACTACTCCATGTACCCTATGTGTAGGGAGTATATGGAACTATAAAGTTTGGTCTATACTACTCCATGTACCCTAGTAAACTGTATCTATGTGTAGGGAGTATATGGAACTATAAAGTTTGGTCTATACTACTTCATGTACCCTAGTATACTGTATCTATGTGTAGGGAGTATACGGAACAATAAAGTTTGGTCTCTACTACTCCATGTACCCTATGTGTAGGGAGTATATGGAACAATAAAGTTTGGTCTATACTACTCCATGTACCCTAGTATACTGTATCTATGTGTAGGGAGTATACGGAACAATAAAGTTTGGTCTCTACTACTCCATGTACCCTAGTAAACTGTATCTATGTGTAGGGAGTATATGGAACTATAAAGTTTGGTCTATACTACTCCATGTACCCTAGTAAACTGTATCTATGTGTAGGGAGTATATGGAACTATAAAGTTTGGTCTCTACTACTCTGCTAAAGATCTTTACTTCTCCATAAACCCAAGTAAACCAGAATCAAATGTGTTAAATCTTTTCTGTGCAGTATTTGCAGGTTAGTAAAGGTTGGGGAGTGGAACGTTATCTTTTTCTTTTTCCCTTAAAAATATCATTATTTACCCCCCATCAATTTTCTATATTTTAAAAAAGTTGTGATTTAAGGATGAAAAATCTAGAAAATGTTTATTATTGTTTACTAAAAAAAAATTAAAACTTTAACAAAAATAAAACATTTTTTATTCTTAAAGAACCCGCTGGTAAGAAAAGGATGATAGCAAAAATGATAAAAACCAAATATATATTTTTTAATATTTCTTTATTTTGTTTGAGACATATTTCTTTCTTTATTTTATCTCAAATTCTGATTGACATTTTTATTAGGAAGTGTTTCAAGTGCAATAGCTACTCCTACCGATGTGGTAAAGGTGATTATTATATTTCATTCGTTGATTATTATATTTCATTCGATGATTAGTAAAAGTTTAAGACCATCTCGAAAATGTGCGGTGCCCCCCCCCCCCCCAACATAAAAAAGATTGCAATTTCTGGTCGAAAATTGTATCTTTGAAACAAGTTTCAAAACGGCTGCCCTTCCTTTTCATGATTATTATAGTTTGATTTTTTATAATATTTTAAGATTTTGCAATTTTTATGTTTTCATTTGTGGTTAATGTTATCCCAGAGAGAAATTAATTTTTTTATCTTAATTGTCCAAAAACCTTCAAAAAGGTCATGTGAGGCCAAGGGCGTCTACAGAAATCAATCTGGGGGGGATTTGAACTGTAAATTCAAAACTTTGACTTCTTGGATACTTTAATGGTCACATACAGTCCAATTACCTTACAAGTACTACTATATCTCTCCTTCAAACAAAACTAGCAGAAAAAAAACAGCAAACTAATTTTTTTTATGTTTTTCACTCTTCAGTTTCAGATTTTAAACGTGTGATAGCTCTGAGTTCTAGGGGGGGAGTACCCCCCTTGTCCCCCCCCTGTATACGCCCTTGTGCAAGGCCCACAAACCAATTCAAACCCGTTTTGACGTTTATCGTATGCAAACAAACCTTTGAAAAAAATTAGTCAATTCCAAAGGCATAAATAGATGATTCGATTGCCGGGGATACAGCAGTTTATTCAATTTTGAGAGAATTTTTATCCCGCATTTTTATTCACAATTTCATGATCTTGGGTTAACAAATTTTATTCCGAGGCAAATAAGAACATTTTATACCGGCAAAGCAGGTTTCACTTTTTATTTCGCGGATTTGAAAAAAACGCAAATTTTTATGAAGTTTGAATTGAATAAATTTATATATCCAACTGTCTTGTGTTATCATTAGGGAAATTATTTTTTTGTGATTTTTACTTTCTTTGTTTTCGGTTCAACAAAAAAAGAAAAAATCCCGGCCAAAAAACATATTTTCTCCCATGATCACACTAGACAGTTGCGTAAATAGATATTTTCAGTGTACCCTGCCTGGTTAATGTCTTTTGAAATCCTGTTAAATATGATTATTGATTTTTAAATAATAATATTAGTCTATTATTCAGTCTTTTCCACATTATTCTGGTTTCTACTGTAGTCCAAATTCAAACTTAGGTTTTTAGTTTTGGTTTTGGAAAAAAAGAACGATGCTAACTATCAACAGAACTATGTGTTACATTTAAAAAAGAAAGTTGGGGGCATAAAATTTAGTGTTCAAATATAAGGATTTTCCTTCTTTAGTTACACTGGCTACCAAGGGGTCCAGGATTTTAAACTGTTTATATTAAGGTCCGGATGCAGGCTAAGGGAGATACTAAATTCGGGAACTTGTTATCTGTTTTCATTGATATTGGGAGAAAGGTAAGACCCATGGCCAGACTATGAGGATTATATGTAAGCACTGCTATGTTATTGGATTGTGCTACATTTTCCTGACACAAGATTGATTAATCTGCGGGAATTTTACGGATTAATTATTTAACTCGTCAATTCAGATTAGTTGAATATTTAAGCTTATGGTTTAATTTAAGTCACAAGTGTCATTTAATCTGTAACTTTTTTCTTCAGTTTTGGACTCTGGTTTATTATTTGTTTTATAAGTAATGATGGTAATTACAGCAAAATTCAATATTTTCGGAGGCTCTTGCGTATTTTGAAGTAGGTAAACAATCCTTTAAAATTGCTGATATTATTAGGAGGGTGTGTCTGGACTATGGCGTGGTGTTTGCCCTACAGCCCAGCGGTCAGCTATAGTTGCTGGGGTTCAACTTCCAGTTTATGACTGGTCTAGATCTTATCTATCCAGGTAGGTTAATTTAAAGGGACTGTAGACTTAATTTAAAGTAACTAGCCTCATCTTCTAAATTAATTGTGAACATGTTCTCTTTGTGTACATCGTAAAACAAAACAAAAATAATTCGCGGATTTTGACAAAAAAAAATTGGGGATTTTCAAAATTATCAAAAATTTATTGAAGATCGAATTTTGATGGAGACAAACATTTGTAATTTTGATCATTCCCTGTGGTCACGTGAGGTCCCACAAAAAATTTGGGCCCGATCGGTTCAGCCGTTTTGACGTTTATTGGATACAAACAAACAAACAAACAAACAAACAAACAGACAAACACCCAAACAGACAGACAAGCCAAATTTATATATAGATATAGAGAGGGGTCTGCACTTTTCACAACAGTACATTTTGAATCTTTATCTGAACAAAAATGGGAAAGATATCGTCGGTTTTTCAAAATAAAACTTTGTTTATTATTATGTACAATGCACATTAACAAAAATTATGTACAACAGAGGTGAACTGGTTTTTAAAGGAGCCTGTGCTAATCTAGCAGCTAGTGTACTGTATTGTTTGTTTATTATTATATACTGTAGGGGGGAACTGGTTTCTGAAGGAGCGTGTGCTAATCTGGCTGCTAGTGTACTGTATTGTTTGTTTATTATGTACTGCAGGGGGGAACTGGTTTCTGAAGGAGCGTGTGCTAATCTGGCTGCTAGTGTACTGTATTGTTTGTTTATTATTATGTACTGCAGGGGGGAACTGGTTTCTGAAGGAGCGTGTGCTAATCTGGCAGCTAGTGTACTGGCAGGTTTATCGGCCTGTCTGGCCAGTAATCCTATAGATGTAATAAGGACTAGGCTAATGATTCAACGGAGGTAAAAAATATTAAAATATTTTTTTGTTTTTCTAAATTACTTAATATATTTGTCTAACTTTTAAACAAAATTATGACACTATTAAATCCATGATATTTACATTGCAATCTTGAAACCAGGGCCGTAATTTTAGATTGCAACCCTGGGATGCAATCTAATTAATTGCAAATTTTTCTACCAAGAAGTTGCGGATTTACTACTCCGAAAACATGAATTAGATTTGATTTCTGAACTCAAAAAATGTGTTACAAAACTTAACAGATTTTACAGTTTTAAAACCTGAAAAAGGTTGATTATTATGCAAATCAAAATGTTTTATTTTGTGGAATGTGTAAAAATATCCATAAAATTTTTTAAAAGTTGAAATATTTAATTATCTCTTCATTCACTTGAGGCAACAAGGGTGCAATAAATACAGAAGGGAATATTACGTTGCCTTGGCTTCCAGGGAAACCTCGGTAATGTAATAATCCCTTCATTATGAATTGCATCCCTATCATCTCCCTGTAATGAATAGATAAATAGTTATAAGATTGAATAATATTTTTTAGGGTCTTGCAAAATAACGAACAAATGTTCTAAGTTCAAATTTTCTTATTTGAGATTACTTAAAATTCCCTGAATTATCAATTTAAGATCACCACTAAGACTATCTTACCGCTCAAATTTGTCCCTTAGACCCAGAAAACTCTATACATTCATTAAAACCCGGTTTTGCAGTGATTGTAAATTACGCGAAATAAAAGGTATCGATTTTTCTGGGTATTATGAGTATTTTTGTGTCACAAAGTCAAATTCTGAAAAAATCGAAGAAAAAAAATGAAATGTCAATTTAAAAAAAATGTATTCCAGGTTTATTAGAGAGAGGGGAGAATATATCCAGGGAGAGAAAATATTTAAGTAAGTCAATTCTTGTTTGCCAGACTGGTATACAAATTTATATAAATTTTCCAAACCGTTTCCATTTTGAAGTGTCACAACGCTTCGACCTTAGATTTTATCCCACTAACTCAACTATACTTTTTTAAGCCTTAGACATCATTTAAAAAGCACTTATGTTTAGCTTTAGTTTTAAATATCTAGTTAGCAAAGTTCTCATCGAGCTCGCAACCTATTGCTCACTGTGCTGTGGTCTGTCTAAGTCATTCAGTTTAAAAGTGCTATTAACGATTCACAATTGTACTTTGAAATCTTAGACATTGACTAAACAATCTTAAAGCAGGGTTGGCATGGAAAAAACCCAGCTCAAAAAAAAACACTTTAAAAACCCAACCTGTAAGTGGGCTTTTTTGGGTTTTATTGGTTTTTTAGAAAAGAATTTTTCTAATTACTGCCCTTTTTCACTCTTATAAAGATAAACTCTTCAAAAAATAATGTCCACTATCAACTGTATTGATTATTAGGGAGTTTACATCACTAAAACTGACACATTTATTCTTTTCTCACGAGTTTTCAAAATATGTTGCGATACAATAAGGATATCAAATCCCTTAATCATTCCTTTATGTGTGAGTGATCTGAAGTTTTTTGGTATTTAACAGTGGTCTTCCTTCTTGAGCATAGAAACCAATATAAACCAATAAAACCCACTGGGCTGGGTTTTTTTTGAAAAAAACATGGGTCTTTTTCCAACCCCGTCTTAAAAGGACTGTCTTCATAAAAAAAGAATAAGATGGGCATGTTCCATTTACAACTATACCCTGGAATTTTTTTTTTGATCAATAATTTGGAAGATATCGTCGTTTTTTATCTAGAAAAGTGTTTAATTCTGACAATTTTGTTCTCCTACAATTGAAAAGAATTAGTTATCAAAGAGAAAAACATGGATATCTAATTTCTACCTTACCAGGCAAAGCTTTTAAGGGTACTGATGTGAATCGTACATGCCACTCTATAAATTGGAATTTACTTGAAATTACGTTTAAACTCTTCACTCTACACTCGACACTCGACACTCGACACTCGACACTCGACACTCGACACTCGACACTCGACACTCGACACTCGACACTCGACACTCGACTCTCGACACTCGACACTCGACTCTCGACTCTCGACTCTCGACACTCGACACTCGACTCTCGACTCTCGACACTCGACACTCGACAATCCGCACTCTGCACTCTACACTCTACACTCCACGGTTTAAATCCGCACTCTGCACTCTACACTCTACACTTACTCATCCATTCACCGATTGGTTTATTTAACCCTTAATTTATGTATTCATTCACTTGTTAATATTTTTTTTTAATTTATCAGGTCTAGTTTTGAATGCTTCTCGCACACTGTTAGAAAAGAAGGATTTTGTGCTCTATACAAGGGAAACAACTAGAATTCTAAATTTAAATCTAAAATCAAAACAAAATTATTTTCAATGAAAGCTTAGAGCTCGTATCTTTTACTCGTCATTTAAACCCTGACTTAATTTAAGTTATTTTGAAACTATTTTACTAAGACGCATGGGTGTATACAATCATTAGGGGGTAATGATTTTATACACCGATGTTATGTACTTTCCTTAATGATTTTTCCTAAGTGGCAACTTCCCAAATGTGCAATTTCCCAAGCAGCAACTTCCCAAGTCTGTCCTAGTAGCAGCGCTCGTCCTTGCGCCTGTTCTAGCCACGGTGCTCGGCCCCCTTTCCCATCCTAGCCGTAGCGCTCTGTCCCATTGCAGCCTGCGGCGCCGCTGAGGGCCTATCCTAACCTTTGGGAAGTTGCCGCTTGGGAAATTGCACATTTGGGAAGTTGCTACTTGGGAAATCGTCAATTGGGAAGTCCCATTTCGGAAAATGCCTTTTGGGAAAGTACCTAACAACTCCCCCCCCCTCTTCTTGGAAATTCATTCTTTTCCAGATGTTATACATGCACTGAAAATAAATGATTTTTAGGAGAGAAAAAAAACGAAATTTTGTTAAACGTGTCAATTTTCCAAAATGTTGCCTTTTGATAAAACTTCTATCTTAGTTTCTATTTAGGGATTTGTTCCTGCTTTCGGACGAATGGGACCTTGGAATATAATCTTCTTTTTAGTATATGAGAAACTTAAATTCTTTTTTTGATCTTATATTGTTGCATCCCTAACCCTCTGTTGTTTAACTCATTTTAAACTTATTAATTTGAAACTTGCATCTGACAATCTCTTGATAAATTCACTCATCTCTAATATCTTTGATCTGTTTCCTCTGATTTTATTTAGTCCCCTCGCCCCATCATCTCAATCCATCGGATTATACCAAACCTAGTGTGATATAACTTAGATCAAATTAATTTTGCTTTGCTTACCCTAAACATAATAAAACTTGTATTTTTGACAGATATTTCTACTTTTAAAGTTTTAAGCTCAACAAACACTGGTGTGCATATTTTTAAAAGTTTTATAAAGCTTTATTTGTTCATCAAATGTATTAAAAGAAGATTTAAAGCTATATTAATAATGTTTCATCAATCATCCAGAATCAATGGACGTACTACCATATTTTCTAGAAAGCTTACATTTCAGGGGAAATTAGTTTCAAAACTAACACTTGGCCCATTTCTAACACTGAATGTTAGAAATGGGCCAAATCGGCAAAGTTATCTTTTTCTTTAAATCCAAGTCGAGTAGAACAAAATTACACCATATATTTATACAAAATGGCTAAAACTATATATTGAAACAATAAATGTCAATTTTAAACTAATAATAAGGTGTGAAAATTAGTTTTTGACGATTCTTGATTTAATTTTTGAACATATCCCTATTTGGAAACAATTACCGGATTTCAGCTCATGTCGCGTTTGGAACATATCCTGGTTTTGAGATAATTACCAAATTTCAGCTCATGTCGCGATTTCGGAACATATCCTGGTTTTGAGACAATTACCGGAATTCATTTTTCAAGTATTTACTCGCTTATGAAACAAAAGAAGATTTTTTGATAAGGTAAAATATAAGGAAAATACAAAGTAAAAACAAACTTCTTTATAATTCAAAAATCATTACAGCATTTATAAATCAAAATATCAATGTCGTTTGTTCTTACAATATAGATTTAACTAGAAATGCGGGTAACTGTTTGTTTAAAATGCTTGAAAATAAATCATCCCTATTCTCTAATTTAACAGATAAAATGTGGAAACTTAGATTCTAGAAATAATTCAGAAGTTAGCCTTCATAACATAATTTTGTTTTCAGTGATTTATTTTGTAAGTTATGAAAGTGAGTTTTGTTTTGGATTGTGGATTATACTCAAAAACGGGAAAGTGGGGTTTGTCTCTAAAACGCGACAATGTTTCAAATTCAGGATATGTTCGAAAACGGAAAACCTAACATTTTCTTGAAAACGGTAAAGAGCTTTAATATAAAAGAACTCCTATTATAATTTTGATTTTTTTTTAAAGTTTAAAATTGGGAATTGTTGTCCTCGTCATGTTTAATAAAATGTTGGTTATAGTTTTTATTATAGGCTTTTAATCTGGATATGGCCGGGATCCCTAAAACCCAGTCTTTCAATTTGCGCAAAGTGTTAGTTTTGGAACTAATGTCCCCTGCATTTATGCCATCATTATAAAAAACTTGAAAAAATAAACCTTTCCTGGGTTTAAAAACATTTATATTTCTATTTAATGGACGGTGCTTATCTAGTTAGAATTGAGTTATTTGAAAAAAAAGATTTTCTTTAACTTTAATTGGAAAACCTTTAATGGTTTTCAGATTATTAAGTAATTTAACAAAATGATATGAAATTTTAAAGAAAATTAGCTAGAATTTAAAGAATATAAATTAAACTCTTGTTTGACTCCTGTTAACCAAAGTATTTCTATAAATGCAATTTTTTATCTAGTTCTTATTATCACTAGATTGAAGTCATGTTCTTATATTTTGAAAATACTTTAACTTGTCAAACAAATACTCTTATAGCTAATTGCTTACAACTATTTAGTGTATTATGAAGTTCAGATAGACTGTAAACCATTATTTTTTATCGTAAATATACACAGTACATACGATACATACAGCTGATATAAATTAAGTGAAATATAACTTCAATATCTTTACTAGAATGACGCGAACTGAGATTCAATTTTAAGCTTTCGGTCAATTTATCTTTTTGCTTTAACAAATTATTGAGCAATTTAGATAATTTATTTTCAGATTGAAAGGTTCATATTTCATAGGAAACTCAATAAACTGCGAAAAATTGTTTTACTCGTGTAGAGTGATATTAATGAGTCTATATACAGGTTGTCACAAAAAACATCGGAATTGAATGTCCCAAGCGGGATTATTTCGTAAGTATAATATTGTAGTAGGTAAAACATTTAACGCCGAAAACTATTTATCTGGGGATTTCCAATATATGGTCTACCATTTTTTCACCTTATAAATTTACGGAGATATTGGGCAATTTGTCACATAGATATTAGATATAAAGATAGTTTGCTCATAAGACGACATTTATCTAGGTTGGTTGTGAACATTGGCTGTTGTTATGTCATTGAGTACATGCGGTGTACATGAGTTCTGCAGAGAAATTAAATTTAGTTTAGTTTAGTCCTTATGAAATATTGCTCCTGAAAACATTGTTCCATTAATGGAGTTAATTTACACTTTATCCGAGAAGTATATTCAATATTGTAAAATAAACCAAAACCGTCATTAATTTGTAACTTTTGGTTAAAACCTATAAAGCAGTGGCAATATGTCAGTGGACATTTTTTCCCAACAACCCTATTTTTTACAAATGGGATCTCATCATGTGGCGTTACTTTTGTGGGGGGCAACCTGATTTGGCCCCCCCCCCCCCACTCTTCCTGATTACCAGAAGCATGACGTAGTGGTCCCAGGAGCGGCTTATGATATTTTCTTGGGTGAGTGAAATAATTAAATTATTGCGCAAATGTTTTGCAATGTCCCCCCCCCCATAAGCCGCCTTTGGGTGGTCCGTGGACCATCTTTAATCTAAGTTTGCCAATTGCACATTTTTAACGAACTGACTCCATTTTGTTGGAATATATAGAATCCGCGGATACGTTGGACGCAGAGCCTAGCCTTTAAAAATTGCTTATTTTGTTTTTTTCGGCTTCCATCCCTTAAAATATGCTGCTTTCACATTTCAACAAATTTTCAACAAGTTGAGAGAGTAATTTTTACAGAGCCTGTAGCCTTAATTATAATAGGCTTTTTGGAGGGGGGGAGCAGTCAATCCTCCCCCCCCACCCCCTCCCTGAGTCAAATAAGGAGGTTGGGGTGGGGTAGAGTAAGTTGTATTTTTTAGAAAAAACGGTACATGAAAACAGTATTTAAAGTACAGAGCAGGCGCCTTAATGTTTTAGGGGAAACGGGGAAATCCACCTGAAAAAAATAGCAAGAAGGGGTGGGGATTTAACGATTTTTTCAAGACAGCATATGGGAAAGAGGGTGAATTAGAATATACACCTTTTTTGATTGGAAAAGTCACTTTGTTTTGCAAAACAGGGTGCCAAGGTTGGGGGGGGGGGGGAATTTCAGTATTCTATGCAACTTAGGGTCGGGTAAAATCCCCCAATCTTAAATACTATTCCTTTCCTGAAACCACCCTTGCCCGGTATGGAAAAATATAAGAAGGGGGGGGGGCAAGAGCCAAGAAGTACACCCTGTTCTGCAATTTAGCGATTCATGAATCCCGACCCTGAGCAAATTTAAGAGCTCTGATCGCAAAATAAATAAAATAATAATTGAACGCTTGCGTATTAAGCTTATACAGTGAGACCCTTAATAACGAATACATCGGAAGAAGTTATCAAATGTCGTCTTGACAATTTTTCATTGGGTTTTATACTACAGGGTGTCCCAAAAAACATGGGAATTCAGTGAAGAATTCGATATCGTCTTTTCAAATAATTCTTTGATTTAGTGTATAGAAGTGATACCTACTGAGAAAGCTGTAATCTGTAAGAGTTTCGTCTGCTATGTTTACATTTTGTTTGTTTATGTTTTGACTGCATACAGTTGTACTTAGTAAAACAAGAAAATTACAGTATACAAACAGAGTAAACTTGTCTGTCTTCACTGTTCATCTTGCGGAGACATTATAGACACATCTTTACAGTCTTTTACCCTTTTCATAAAATAAGCTCAAGCAAACATAATAATATTATGGCTTTTGAAATTAGGTATTACAATGCTAGTTCATAACAAAGACGATATCAAATTCGTCACTGAATTCCCATGTTTTTTGGGACACCCTGTATATTACGTAAATTTCAGTATTTGCGAAAATAAATAAATATCCATGAATATGCGGAAACAGTTTAAAAGAGTTCCATATAATCATTTAATTAAAAAACTAAATATCTGCA